GGGTCGACCTGCCTGGGCAAACTCTGACTCTTTCAGGTAGGTAGCCCAAAGCACTTGAGTGTGGTCTGTGAGCAGAATGTTGCAGCTTGCATGCTGGCAGGGACCTTGAAATGCCATAGAGTTGTGGCAATAAACATGGCTACAGCCATTATATCCGCCATGAGGCTGGAAAGCTAAGGAATGAGCTGGATCCAGCCGTCAAAGCCACAGCTTTAATCCTCTCCATAAAGACTCATGTGGTCAGAAAAAGAGAGATATACAGTAAAGAGAGATTCAAAGATGAAGAAAACACTTAAATGCTTTATGGTGTGTTAAAAATATATGCAGGCTAAAGGTTAAAGTCCTTAAAAATAAAAAAGAAAGAAAGAGAGTAGTAGGGTGTGGTGGTACACACCTTTTATCCCAATGCCTGGTAGGCAGAGACAGACAGATCTCTGTGAGTTCAAAGTGTTGTAGCACACACCTTTAATCCCAGCACTGTGGAGGCAGGGACAGGTGGATCTCTGTGGCAAAGATACATAGTGTAAAACACTGTCTCAAAAAGCCAGAAGTTAAAAGTAAAAATAAAAGAAATACAGGTTACAATAAAGCCACAAAAAGATTGAAAATACACAGAGAATCTTGATACTGTATGCTATTATGCTCTCTTTGAATTGCTTAAATGGTGAGGAAGGAGCAACAGCTGCTAAAAGATATGTGCTTATAAATGCTGCTGAATTAATCCAAGATAGGTATTTTGAAAATACCTTGATTTCAAAATTGAAGTCAAAAGGTATGTTACTTTGGAGAAGAGATTATGCTTCTGTTTCCACAGAAAATGAGAGGCTGTGGACTCATTCTGAGATTAAAAATATCCAGTTTGATCAAGGAAGAGCACCTGAGAAATCTCCAGTAGGAACAGATGGCCTGGATGTCTGAGTTCTACATCCAGAACAGACTCAAGACTGCTGCCTGAGGACCGTGAGGAGTGCGAGCACCCACTGATACAAGGGGACTGATCTAATGAGAGCTCACCAAGGCCAGTTGGACTGGGACTGAACAAGCACGTGATCCAACCACATTCGCTGAATGAGGCCCGATTCTCTGAATGTGGCTGGCACAGGGTCTCTCTGAAAAGCCATTGACAATGACACTGGGACTTGTTTCCTCTGCATATACTGGATTTTTGGGATCCAGTCTGTTTGGATGCTCACCTTCCTGGACCTGGAGGGAGGGGGGAGGAACTTGAACTTCCCACAGGGCAGGAAACCCTGACTGCTCTTAGGGATGGAGAGGGAGGAGGAGAGGGAGTGGGGGATTGGGAGGGTGCTGGGAGGAGGGGCGGAAATGGAAACTTTTATAAATTAATAAACTTTTATAAATTAAAAAAAAGACTGCTGCCTGAGATGATCACAACTCACAGGATACTCCAGTCAGGACTTGTTTATAACTCTAAATTTTCTTTAGGTCCCCATAAGATTATCAGTACCCCAACCAGCAGGAAGTAGACAGGAATACTACGTCCGCATTCCCAAGAAATGGACTATGGATATTTCCTTTTGTTTAAAAAAACGAAGAAAAAAGAGTGGGAAGTGGTGCGGGAGATTGTCTTTATTATGCCAATCATATTTTAAATAAACACTGGTCAGGCAGGAAGTATAGGTGGGTCAACCAGACAGGAAGGAGAGGCAGGGGCAATGAGTACAGGAGTATTCTAGGAAGCAGGAAGCTCCCTCTGCAGTTCTGCCCAGACCACCAGATAGGCAAGACATAAGCTGCCCCACTTAGAAAGATACTGAGCCATGTGGCTAACATAGATAAAAATAATGGGCTAACATAAGTTATAAGAGCTAATAAGTAGCCTGAGCTAATGGGTCAATCAGTCTATAATCTTCTGGAGTCATCTGTGTGATTTTCTTTGGGGCTTGCCAGCTGTAGGGTACTGGGCGGGACAGATACCCCAACAAGCCGGCCCTTCGTGTTACAAATGTCTTCAACATTGGGACATCATCTTTGGCCTACAGGCCTAACAAATCCTACAGACTTCTCAGTGAAGCAGGCTATTCTGAAGGGCTGTCCCTCCTATCCTGACAATGTTTGGCAGTCACTCTCTTGTGTTTTTCTTGTCCAGTTAGGACAGTATACTGTCAGCAGTCAAGGCAGGGACACTTTTTGCCCAGTGGCATATTTTTACCAGAAAGTAAATTATATGAAGCATATGAAGCAGTTCATTGATGCCCATATCTTCTCTGAAATAGATTGGTGCTGCCAGAAGCAGACATGTCTCCTTGTCATAAAAAAAAAAAAACAAAAAAAACTTTGTGGTTAAAAAACTTAAATGCCATATTCTGTAAATCTCTAAATTGTTTGAAGATAACCTGTCTAAAACATATCTTTGTTTGACCTTGAGAACATACCTAATGTGGCTACAAGTTTAATTATAATAGGTGCTTAACTACTAACTTGCATTTCCTTATTATCCTAAACAACTGGTAGAAATAATTTTCAAGAACGAGAAATTTGCATTACTTTGTTAAATGAGTTATATAGGTACAATACCTTCAACAAGAGTAGAAATATATGCATGGTATGTTCTATCAAAGTTAATCTCAATATACAAAAGTCCAATCCAATGTAAAGTGTTTAAAACTAGTAGCTGCTTTCTAAAAGATTTAAAAAAATCTTCCTTTTTATATTATCATATCCTCCCCCTTTTCTTTTCAGTCTTTGTTCCCTTTTTGGCAGGTGTTGGGGCCTATGCACTGGGTTTTAAGGTCAGAGTGGTACTTCTAATATGGTGTCAGTCATATTGTCTGGGGGCCTGTCAAAATATAAAAATTCAGAGGAAAATTTGAACAATAAGATCTGTTGTATATTTGGAAGACCTTTAAGAAGGTCAGTGTAGTCAACCAGCCTGGTCTACAGAATGAGTTCCAGGACAGCTAGGGCTATACAGTAAAACCCTGTCTCAAAAACAAGAGGAGAGAGAGAGAGAGAGAGAAAGAGAAAGGGAGAGAGGGAGGAGGAGGAGCGGAGGAGGAGGAGGAGGAGATGGGGATGAAGAAGAAGGAGGGGGAGGGGAGAAAAAAAAGGAATGACTGAAAGTAAAGTGTCAGTCCCAGGTTCAAAAGAAAAAAAAAACCCACCCTGAGGAAATGTCTGGGAAAGCCAGCATTGGCTGCAGGAATTATTCTGACGCCTCTCAGTAGCAGCCCTGATCATCTGAGATGGCCACTCCTTGCCTTTCAGCATCCTCAGTTTGGTCAGTATTAGCCAGCATCCATGCTGACCCAGAAGACTGTGAAGTCAGAGCTGTATTGTGTGCTCATATGCACAATTAGAGGAAATGACCCGTGGCTGAAGGAGGAGTTCTGTTGCAGTCTTTTAGAAGAAATGATTTGCTGGGGGTTCCCCAGGCACCGTGCCCATCCCTCTCTGTCCCTGACCCAGCAGGGAGGCTCAGCATAAGCACCAGCCTCCTCTCCCTGACAGCCATAACCCACCAAGCTCTGCCCACCAGACATCAGGTGACAGACAAACCCATGCACAGAAACTTACTGTATGCTGTGTTTCAGCAAGCGAGCTTTCCTCTCCAGGGAACCTCCTCGCTTCCATTCACTTGGTGTGGAGTTTGTGCTGGAGAGGGGACGTGGGAAATGCTTACTGCTGAATCAGAGGCTGCTGGAGGAAGAGAGGACGCCATGCTGCCTTCCTCAAAAGAGGTAGTTTGGCAGGCATGCTGGGGTCAGAACTGAGACCTTGTGCTCTGAGGTGGGTCCTGCTGTGAGGTCTTTAGGGGCCACTGCTAGGACACTACTGAACATCAGTAAGAAGAAATAACCAGGGCCTCTGTGGAGGTGATGCCTGAGGATGAGGTACCAGTCTGAGAGCAGCTCCTTGAGCCTGTCTTTTCATTTCAGCAGGATGAAGCATCTCACTGGACTCATTTTCTGCTCCCTGGTCCTGGAAGTCAGAGCTGGTTTTCATTCCTTGGTGAAGTTTACCAAGGTAAGACTGGGTGGAGGGGAGGGTTATGACACATGACCTCTATTGGTCTCCTGAGCACTCAGGAGGGTTGGACTCACTGTCCTGCTTGGCAGGATGGACCAGAGACTCCGGCAAGACTTCTGAATATGCACTGCCTACAGCAGGAGGCAGAGCAGAGATCACATCCCACCAGTGCTTGAGGCCAATCCTGTCTGTCAGCTCTGCCTGACACTTCCTAAGTACACTGTGAACAACGTGAGGTACAGTGGCATCACCAAGAGAGCAGTAATACCACCTAGGGCTAGACCTGTCCTCCCCCTGTATCTTGTCTCGAGATTGGCCTTAAGTGTGGCCTAGTATGGGGACTCTCAGTGTCTCCTCACAGGATCAGAACCTGCAGCCACAGCTGAGATCTTTGCTCCAAAGCTCCCACGAGACAGCACAGCACCTGTGCAGTCTAATCAAAGGGCAGAGACGGCAGTGTCACTGTGGTGCACATACTCTCTGTCAGGACAGAATTCTTAGGGATCAGAGCCAATGCTCCCTGTGTGCAGCCCTCCTCTGCCTTCTGTGCACTAACAGTCACCTCAAGATGAAACTTCCTAGCCAGGGGTAGCTGCATCCAGAAACACTGGCCCTTGCTTGGAGGCGGTGTGCTCCGAGGGACATTTTCAACTGCTCTAGGTACACTAGGTTGCATTACTGGGGAAATGTGCTATGGAGTTTGGTGGTAGAAGCTGACACCTCTGTGGCAAACACTTCCATGGTGCTGAAGCTGACACGCCCTGCTATGTAATGACACTGCCCTGCCCCATTGCTTCCCCCCAGGTGAGGGGCAGCTCACAGCAGCACTGTTGAAGAAAGACAACACAGGGCAGGTGTGTCCCCAATGGCCCTCCAGAGTTACTAGGAGAAGCCAGAGAGGATGAGGAAATGATCTCCCATTCATGGTCTCAGGCTGCTCTGACCACAGGCACAAGCCATGAGTTCTTTTCATCCCTTTCATCCTCTAAGACATACGCAGAGTCTTTAGTTCATGTTCCTGTTGTCTTTCCCACCCAGGTGCTAAGGACATGTACCGAGCCCACACTGACATGAAGGAGGCCAACTGGATAGGTGCAGACAAATACTTCCATGCTAGAGGGAACTATGATGCTGCCCGAAGAGGTCCCGGGGGAGTCTGGGCTGCTGAAGTCCTTAGGTAAACACAGACTGTTGGGACACTGGGCCTGGGTAGCAGGGATTGATTCTTCTGAGGGAAGCTATAGAAGGTGAGCTCTGGAGAGTGCCATGCCAATCTGTGAACCCTCCTCCACTTGCTCATCCAGCTACTGTCTCCATCTGTGCCAGTGTAGACCCTGGCTGTGGACAGTGAGCATACAGCCATGCTATGTGGCCTTGCTCCCAAATGTAGGCAGGGAATGACTCATCATCACCAGCATTTCTGGTGTTGTTCATCTAGTGTGGGCTGACCAGTGTCTCAGCCCCTCCTTCCTGACCCTTCCTCATTTCCTCCTACAGCCATTCCGTGCAAATGGGGGAACTGGGTGTATTGTGACTAAGAAGCTTTGGTAATGGATTTCTTCTGTGTCTGTTTCTCCTAGTGATGCAAGAGAGGGCATTCAGAGTCTCATAGGCCGTGGACATGAGAATTCCATGACCAGGAAGCCAACAGATGGGGCCGCAGTGGCAAAGATCCCAATAACTACAGACCCGCAGGCTGCCTAAAAAATACTGAGCATCCTCCCTTCAGCCTCAGGAGGCTGTGCTGTGGGCTCTGGGGACAGGACGTGGGGATCTTCGTTTCCATGAACACTGAAGTTGCTGGGGAACACACAGTAGGTATCTCACCTGCACACAGACCAAGAGTCTCAAAGCCATTATTCTTGCAGCACTAACTACTTGCTTGAGAAGAGGGTAATAAGCACTAACATGGAAGAGGAGCTGAGCCTGAGCATCTGTCATTGAAGGTCATTTCTAGGATTACACAGGGCAGACCCCACTCGGCCAGAATCTGCCATGATCCCTTCTCTGGGCCCTTGTGCTCTGGGTGTATGTTGTCATTTTCAGACCTTTCCATGACATGCCATTACTCCCTGTCTGTCATGTCCAGTCACCTGTTCTGATCTCCCCAGCCTTAGTTCTCAATGTCCTTGTCTCTAGGGACCAGGAACAAAACCATAGGAGGACTGGCCCCCGCTTACCCTACAGCTATCACCTTGATCTTGCTCATTACTCAACACCTACAAATCCAGTATCACACAAATTCTCCATCCTAAGAAATATTTCAAAGTAGTTCCCTCTTGTCTTAGAGTCACTATTTCTGTGATAAAACACTATTACCAAAACAACATAGAGAAGAAAGGGTTTTCTTTGTCTAACACTTCCACATTATAGCCCATCACTGAAAGAAGTCAGGACAGGAACTCAAAACAGGGCAGGAACACGGAGGCAGGAGCTGATGCAGAGGCCGTTGAGGGGATGTTGCTTACTGGTTTGCCCCTCATGGCTTGCTCGGCCTACTTCTTTATAGAACCCAGGACCACCAGCCCAGGGATGGCAGCACCCATGATGGGATCAGCCCTCACCCATTAATCATTAAGAAAATGCCTATAGCTTGATCGTATAGGGGCATTATCTTACATGAGGCTCCCTCTTTTCTAGTGACTCTATCTTCTGTCTAGCTGACACAAAACCAGCCAGCAAACCTCTGCTTGACTTTCACTGAGTCCAGAAAAATGCCCCAGGAAAAACTGTGTCTGGAGATACAGACACAGCATCAACACCAAGATGCAGCCTCTTTCTGTAGCCTTTGACATCTCTGTCCTTCTAAACCTTTTCTGGCTGGACAAACTTCACACTCCTGAGGAGTCTGGGCACTTTCCTCCTTAGATAGGAACTCTTGAAGGGTTAAAGTCTCCCACTCTCACAACTGCACTTAGGTCTCCATTCTCTGAGAAAGGCAATTTATCCACGGTACCCTTGCACTCAGGGATGAGCGAGAACAAAGGCCTAAGTCAGGTCAGCCTCACCATGCCTCAAGGACAAATACAGCAGCCCCCACTGAGTCACATCCAAACTTGCCCAATCTTGTGCATATATGCCCAAAAATGGTAAGATAGTTTCAGCCAATTAAAGGTATACTAACTAATGCGATGGCTGCTTGCTTAACCAATTACATGTGAAATGACCTAACTGTTCCTGAAACGCTCCTTGGCTGTACTTAGAAGGAACTTGCATGCTCCTCTGGGGTCATCACTATTTTGTACAGAAGAACGACCCCACGTATGTGGGTATTAATAAACCCTCTTTGCTTTTACATACTGAGGCTGGGGTCTTCCTTCAGCACTTCTTTGGATGCTTACGCTCTGGATGTTTTTCCCATATTGCAGTTAAAAGATAGATGATCTCACCTTTCTGAACTAGGGCATGGACTTCTCTGTCCACATGTTCTACTTGTCACAAGCTGAGCGGTGGTGGTTGTTGAGATGGGGTCTCACAATGTTACTCAAGTCAGTCCTGAACTCAAGGGATCCTCCTACCTCAGGCTCACAAGTTCTGGAATTACAGGCATGTGTCACCAGACCAGGCTCTTTAAATGTTTTAGGTGACTATGGTGTGTGGGAGTGTACTGTGCTGGCTGGTTTGATGTCAATTTGACACAAGTTAGATTCATCACAGAGGGAATCTCAATTGAGAAAACACCTCCAAAAGATCTGGCTGTAGGTTGTATAACTTGGTCTTCATGTGAGACTCCTAACAGTGAGAGCAGGGGCTGTCTCTGACTGTGTTGCCTGCTTTTGGGACCCATTCCTCCTACTGGGTTGCTTCATCCTATCTTAATAGAAGAGGCGGTGCCTGCTCTCATTGCAACTTGATATATCCATGGGAGGCCTGCATGTATCTGATGAAAAACAGTGGAGTGGGTAGGGGATGGGGGGGATAGGAACTGGAAAGAGGGGAGAGAAGGGAAACTTTGACTGGGGTGCAAAAACATACACGCACACACACACACACACACACACACACATCTGACTGGAGGGCATTTTCTTAACTAGTGATTGGTGGGTGAGGGCCGAGGCCAATGTGGGTGGTGCCATCCCTAGCTGGTGGTCCTGGGTTCTATAAGGAAGCAGGCTGAACAAGCCATGATGAACAAGTCAGTATGCAGCACCCCTCAATGACCTCTGCAGCAGCTCCTGCCTCCAGGTTCCCGCCCTGTTTGAGTTCCTTCAGTGCTGGACTATGATGTGAAGATGTAAGCCAAATAAACCCTTTCCTCCCCAACATGCTTTTGTTCATGTTTCATCATAGCAACAGTAACCCTAGCTACGACGTGCATATGTTCATGCTTGCGAGTGTGTGGAGGTACAGGAGACTCTGTTGATGTTAGGCGTTGTCCTACTTTGCTTCTCTGTTGCTGTGGTTACCACTTTGACCAGTAGTGGGGGAAAGGATATACTAGGTTATATATCAATTACAGTTACAGTCCGCCACCAACGGGGCCAAGGCAGAAACCTGGAGGCAGTGACTGAAGCAGAGACCACAGAGGAGCACAGTTCATTGGCTCAGGTTGTGTAGAGTTGACGGAGACAAACCAGCATGGGTGTCTTAGCTGTCACTCTGCACTGTCTACTGAGTCGGTTCTCTCTCAAGCTGCAGCTGGCCTGCTCCTGCTAGCTCTCTCCTTTCTCCCTGGGCACTGGGGTTACAGGTGGCTACCATACATGGTCAGCTCTTACGTGGGCTCTGGGATCCAAACTCCAGTCCTCGTGCTTCTCAGACAAGCACTACCCACTGAGCAACCTTCTCCCGCATGTGCTGATTTAAAAGTACCTCCTATGTGTCGAACCTGGAAGGCTTGCTTTATCAGCTCATCCTTCTCTGGCCTTCTGTTTTCATTTCCTGCACTGCATGAAAATCTAGACCCTCACTTGGGCCCTCACTCTGCAGCAGCAATCTGACCATGGACTGGCCCTCAGTACTAGTCTCCTGGAGTCAAGTCCACGACCACATTACCCTCAAGGCCACTTTGAGCTTGCTCAAGCCACCCTGTCACCTCTGTCTTCCCACACTCATTTATTCTGCATACAATTCCTTGTGTCCAAACTCTGAGACAGAGCTTCTCCCTCTCCTTCACCTCTGTTTGAACCTTCTCACGGGAACTGGAGATGTTCTGTTGGGAACTGCTCTGCTCTAAGCTCACACTTCCTTTCTTCTTTCTTCTAGACAGGGGCTCACTACACAGTAGTCAACTGTGTCTGGAACGTTTCGGCAAACGACAGACGCGAAAATACTGCCTCTTGCTCAGACTGTTTCAATGTCGATGTTTGGCTGAAGAGGAATTATTTTCTCTTTGCCTTGGAAGATAAATTCGGGTGATGTGGGCCAGGAATCCTCGTTGGAAATAAGGATTGTGGTAACTTGCCCTAGACAGGGAGATGACGATAGGATGGCAGCTATGCCAGCTCTTGGCATCTGCTTGCCCTGAGATGTGCCGTGGAGCTGAAAAGTGAAGGGAGAGCTCGCTCCCATTACCTCAGTACAGTCTCACATTCAGCATAAGCCGACAGACCCAAAACTGGGTGCTGCCAGTGGAAAGGACTGCCACGCTTCACAATACTCTAAGGAAGTCTATAGAGCTTTGTTTTCCTGACAATTACTTCAGTCCACCAGGCCAGATCATACCCAAGGTTGTGGGTAGGTATGAGAGCTAGTGTGGTATTAATGGGGAAAAAGAAAGAGGTTGCTTATTCTAACACCATTCCACACTGGATTTATGCAACACGTTCCTGCAAACTGCTCAGGAGTAAGTCTCAGGTTCATGTTCTGTTCAAACAAAACCTTCATTTAAAACCTTAACCTCATAAATGACTATCTGTTTATATGGCTTATATAATACAATCATTTGTTATACAATTATTTGTTATAATTTATTTATAATTTAAGTGTTTGACTTTCTCTTGGGTGGTGCACGCGTTTAATCCCAGCACTCAGGAGGCAGAGGCAGGTGGATCTCTTTGAGTTTGAGACCAGCCTGGTCTACAAGAGCTAGTTCCAGGACAGGCTTCAAAGCTACAGAGAAACCCTGCATTGAAAAAAATCAAAAGAAAAAAAATAATTTTTAAGAGAGTGTGTGTGTGTGTGTGTCTCTCTCTCTCTCTCTCTCTCTCTGTGTGTGTGTGTGTGTGTGTGGTGATGGCAGTGGCATACACCTTTAATCCTAACACTCACACTCAGAAGACAGAGGATCTCTTAAGGTCGAGGCCAGCCTGATGTATCTGGTCTAGCAAAATCCAAGCTAGCTAGGGTTACAAAGAAAGATTCTCGTTCCAAAAAAAAAGAAAGAAAGAAAAAGTGCATGATGCTTTTGAGTAACTCTCTTTAAAAATTACAGTCATGATGTCACAGCACAGGTGTGGGGTTCACACAGTCCGTGCAATGAAGACTCAGAGAGACACTTTGAGAATGAACTTAGGCTTTGGCGGCCACATGGAACCCCACCCTCAGTAGACTGAAGCACTGTCCCTTCGCCCAGGGCATTTTTACTTTTCCCCACATTTACACTTTAGCCAGTTGATTTCCATATGCTCAACACAACCCGACCGAAGCTTCCAAAATTACAGCCAAGTGCAAATACCTGATTCAGGAGATTCCACGGTTTTCCGGGTTGCTCCTAACCAAGTTTTGCATAGGCTTTGTATCCATGGGAAACTCTCAGACAAGATTCACATAGGGCAACAAAAGGTATCTGTAACAAAGGATGGATTGGGGCTAGGTGTTAGTTGCTAACTCTCTGGCACCAGGTCAGCAGGAAATTCTACAACAAATATATTTCCAGTGATTAGTCAATGTGTATAGGTTTAGAATAAAAAACATATCAAATAAATACTAGAAAGATTCTCTAAATTGAGTTCAACTCAGATACGGGCAATTTTATTTAAAACTCTCATTTGAATCTTCAATGTTCAATACATATTGTCAACAAAAAATGTCATTGTTCTAGGCCTACGTCAGTAGTTTCTAGATGGCCTCAGACGAGTGTAAACAGTACTGAACTCCAGGTCACAACATTATCTGTCCTCGTGTAACACAGTGTCCGCCCTAACAGAGCTGCCACAGCAGAGAACAATTCCCTGATGCACGAACAGTGTGAACACCACTGTGTAAGCCTGAGAACACATGGCAGCGAGCTCTCCCACACTTGTCCCAGTGAACAACCAACTTGTCCCAGGACAGCTCTGGTTGATGACCTTTGAGGTCACAGAAGCACAAGTGCCAAGTGCCAAGGTGGAGACGGTGGCAACAGCAGCTGCAGCAGCATGGCAGGTTCTGGTACTGGCATGGTTTCAGGCATCCCCTTTCCTTCTGCGACAAGGCCCTCTGAAGGTTCTGAGCAGGATTCCATGTGGTCAAAATGACACCATGTCCTGGAAGATCTCCCACTAGGCCTGCTGTGACCAGAGGAACCGGTCACATTTCTCAAGCATGCCTTGTATCAGTGCTCTGGAATCCCACAAAAAGAAAACAGCAAATTCAGTTGTCCAAGTTCATTCTTAATAGCAAAGCAAAAACTCTAAAGACTTAAGAGGATTTAAGATCAAAAGACATAGGCTGAAGCCAGCAGAGTGGGCGAGGACATCAGACTCAGGGTACTAGTAAATGGCCAAGCATGGATGAGGCCTCGGGGTCAGTGGCCCAGTGATGGAAAAAAAGAAAGGGATCAAGAGAATGAACAAGCAGTCTGTAATAGGAGAAAATATATGCAGATCCCACCTGGTAAGAGGCATCTACACATTTGGAATACAGTAGAATTCCACAATCAAACTAACAACCTGATTCTAAAATGGGCAATGAAATGAATTATTTCTCCAAGTATAAAAGTAAGCATAAATGTTCACTCAGCATCACTGCTGTTAGGGAAATGTACACCAGCTGAGCAACTCTAATATAAAATTCCAAAATATTCTCAAATTCAAAAATTTCTGAAATCTGAAATGCTATGTTCCAAGGTATATTAGCTATGGGACATTAAACCTATACTGTGGTCACTCTACTTAGATGAGGCATCTAAGATTTTCAAACTCACACAAAGTCGAGTGATGGTCACCAGGGCTATAGGAATGAAGGCCTGTTTAATAGCTATGGCACATCAATTCACAGAGGGAATATGCTGGAAACTGTCTGCACAGCAACATGCATACACTAAGTGACTAAATGCTCTAGACAGCAATTTTCACATGGGTTTGCTTTTTCCTTTTCTTTTTCATTCAGTCCAGGCTGACCTTGAACTGCTAATCCTTCTGTCTCCACCTCCCCAGGGCTGAGATTACAAGTGTGTGCCTTCACACTTTTGTTGTTTCTACAACATCTATTTTACAACAGACAGAAAAAGAAAAACTTGACTAAAATAACTGTGCGTGTGTGCTTGTGTGTGCGTGTGTGTGCGTGTGTGCTTGTGTGTGCTTGTGTGTGCGTGTGTGTTTTGCTCTGTGTTTTAATATGGATATTGAATGCAAGGCTTCATACATAATAAATAAATCCCTATCACTGAGCTACATGCCCAGCCCCTTTTCACTTTTGAGACGGATTTTACTAAATCCCCTGTGTGTCTCTGAACTTGTGGTTCTCCAGCATTGACCTCCTAAGCAGCAAGCTCACAGGCCAGGCCAGTAACAATATCATTCTTACAGAACTGAGGGTGCATGGTAGTGGGGCACTGACACTAACCTGAAGAGTACCCTGATCATGGCGGTGAGTAAAATTTTACTTTGGCCTCCTCTTTTACACCATAATCAGCAGATGTGTCTCACTCTCCTCACGAGCTAGTGAGGGCTTGAGATTACATGATCTCTGCACTCCCATCTACCTACTGTTGAAAGTCTGCAAGTAACATGCTCAGACTCCACAGACAGTGTATGGCGGACTGGCATTACCTCTGCCTTCTCTCAGCGATCCTCAGGATGTCACAGGTTCTGGTAAACTTTGCTGACAACTCAAGGGCCAGACCACATTCCTGTAGCAGTGCCCAGGCCTGATCTGGGCCCAAGGCCTTAGCTAACAGGAGTGCCACATTCCCCACATTGATGGGAGCAGGCCCATCACTGAGGCTCCCATTTAGTGGCTCCTGAGGAGCTGGCTGTGTGCTCCTGTTCTGTAGTAGATGTAAGAGAAGCTTCCATTCTTCCAAGGTCTCAGGGATCCACCCTGCACAGAGAAACACAGAACATACATACAAGCTCCATACATGAAGTGTGAGAACTATGAGAACACAGCAAAATAAACACATTCAAGAACAGAGTCTCACTTCAGCACAAACCTTCTGAATTCACAGAATTAAAATCATCCTCAAACTTTCTGGATATGTAACAAGGAACCAAATAGACACATATGTGAGAACATGTGTGCAGGTTTCCATAGAAGCCAGAAAAGGGTGTTAAAGTCCATGGAACTAGGGTTAGAGGCGAGTATGATCCACCCAGCATGGGTGATGGGAGCCAAACTCTGGTCCTCTGCAAGAACACCATGTGCCCTTCCCTGCTTTGCCACCTTCCAGCCCTCTTTTTCTTTCAGACTCATTGGAAAGAGCTTTAAAGTGGGCAAGAATGAAAGTCAGAGGTCCAGGGTGAGACTCCATCCCAGGAGTTACCTCCTTACAACAGCATCTGAAAACATGGAGTAGAGGCTTAAGACAGAAAGCAGCTGTTAAACAGAAAAGATGCTGTCATACACCAGAGACTAGGGAAGTCCCCACAATTTTAACAGCTATCTAGGATTGTGTGGACAATGACTAAAATGTTCCAACATGCTTGCTGAAACTGAGCGACTTCCAGAACACCACAGTGAGGAGTTAGCAGTTGGGATTTACATACCTTTGTCCCCTCCCATCAGGCTTAGGTCGTTCAGATGCACAATGTTGGTGAAGGCCTCCCTCCTCCTCTCCAGCTCCAGACAGAGGGTAAGATATCCAGGCCAGAAGCTTAAAGGGAACAAAGTTGACGAAAGGAGTAAGTGCAGTGAATGTCTATGAAGGCCACTGTCCATAGCAGCCACATGTGGTCCTTAAAGCTTAAGGTAAAAGTAAAAATTAAATCTCAGTGCTAAGTTGTTGTTATGATAATCTTTTTTGTTTGTTTGTTTCTAGTGACAAGGTTTCTCTATGTAGTTCAGGCTGTCTTGGAACTCCCTCTGTAGGCCAGGGTGGCCTCAAACACAGAGATCCACTTGTCTCTGCCTCCCAAGTGCTGGGATTAAAGGCATGCATCACCACCCTCTAGCTCTTAAGTCTTTTTTTAAGATTTATCTATTTTTAAAAACTTTAAAATTTTTTATGTGTATGGGTATTTTGTTTAAATGTAATGTCTGAGTATCGCATGTGCCTGTTGCCAAGAAGTCCAAAAGTAGGTACTGGATCCCCTGGAACTGGAGTTAGAGACAGTTGTGAACTGCCATGTGAGTGCTGGGAATTGAACCCGGGTTCTCTAGAAAGTACTCTTAACCCCTGAGCCATCTTCCCAATCGCAAGATTTACTTATGTATGTATGTATTTATTTACTGCTTTGTATTTGTTTGATTTTTTTCAAGATTGGGTTTTTCTGTATAGCTCTGGGTGTCCTGGAACTCACTTTGTAGGCCAAGCTGGCCTCAAACTCACAAAGATGGGCCTGCTTCTGTGTCTGCCTCCCAAGTGCTGGGATTAAAGGCGTGCACCACCACAACCCAACGCAAGATTTATTTGTATATTATGTGTATAAATGTTTGTCTAGATATATGTTTCTGCATAATGTACAAGTCTGGTGTCCCCAAAGGTCAGAAGAAGGCATCAGATCCCCTAGATTTAGAATTACATCAGTTATGAACCTCCATGTAGATGCTGGGAATTGAACCTAAATCTTTTGCATGAGCAGCAAGTGTTTTTAATTACCGAACCATCTCTGCAGTCTCTAAAAGTCAGCTTTGTAATTAAAAATTGGTGATCACATGTGGCTAGAGGGCAGTGCAGTAGAAAATTTCCATCATCACACAAACTTCTACTCGACAGTCTGGATCTAGTGTGAGTAAGAAACAAAGCTTTATGTACTTTGTAAGTAGTTTTGTTTTTTAATTTTCTTTTCATTATGTATATGGCTGCTTTGCCTGCATGTACCATATGCGTGTCTGGTGCCTGGGGAGACTAGAAAAACTTATCAGATCCACTAGACTTGGAGCTACAGACGGTTGTGCTGAAAATCAAACCTAGACCCTCTGGAAGAGTAGACAGTGCTCTTAACCCCTGAACCATATTGCTAGCCCCTATTTATTAGATTTTACCATTCAATACAAAAACAGAATGTGTCTCCAAATCCCAGTCCATGGACTTTCTCCTTGGTGCTTCCTAATCACCAATCCTTCATCCTGTAATAATTCACACAACCTCTTCCTGCAGGCTTTCCTTTCTCATGGATAGCACTAGAAATAATCTCCAGGGAGTCTAAAGGATGGCCAGAGAGATGGGTCAGCAGGTTAAGGGACATGCTGCCAACCTTGACAGCCTGAGTTCTATCCCTTGAACTCATATGGCACAAGAGAACCAACACTAGAAGGCTGTTCTCTGACTTCCACACAGATGACATAGCATGCACTTGCCACCCCCAAATTAAATTACAAATAAAACAAACGACTATTTATTGTTTAAGCCCCAAAGAGTATCTCATGATCTCACCAGCTGCCACCCGCCCACTCTTATCCTTCATTATCAATGAGTAAGAAAGTATCACATCGCTGTCACTGCATGAACTCCCTCTAACAGCAGAAGCAGAGGGCACCAGCCAGTGAGTAGCCCTCCCATCAGCAGTGTCAGTTTTCCACCCCTTCCTGTCCCCTCAGCAGACTCACCTCACTCCACAGCCTTCAGGACTGACTGCCAATCCCCCTTTTCCTGAGCTCTTCCCCAGGAAACCTATCCTGATCTCTCCCTTCTTGGAAGTCTTTTATCTATTGTAACTGGTGTGGACTTACTACATAACAGCTGGGGGAACTGACTCTAGCAACTGAGCAGAGGGAATACAAGCACTTAAATACTACCACTTAAATCACAGGGCTAGAAAGACAGCTCAGGAGTTAAGCTCATTGGCTGTTCCTGCAGAGGACCTGGGTGGCTCACAACTGTCTGTAACCCCAGTCCCAGGAAGTCCTGATGCCCTCTTCTGGACTCTGTGGTGCACTGAAAACGGCCGCACACAGAAAGTAAAAATCTTAGTATTAAAAAAAGTTACATTTAAGCATCAAATTGAATCCTTGCATAAAATAAAGCACAGCAATGCAGGACCCTAACTAGAGGGTTATTTCTGGGTCCCAATCTGTAAACATCCTCACTTACCCATAGGACTTACAGATGTCAGTCATTTTCTCTTTGGTTGTAAAGTCTGCAGGAAGTTTAATCAGAAGAAGAATCAACTGACTATAACCCCAGGAAAGCAAGTGTGAATGGGGCCTATGAAATGAAAAAGTACCGGAAATTAGACAGGAAATAAACTCTAGGAAGTACTACATAGTCATCTAATAGGAAAAACTGCAACTGAAGCATTACCATTATTATAAATTCCAAATATTTCTATTTTCCTCCTTAAAATTTAAACATAACTTTTTTTATATATCTCGTTCATCTCAAAATGAAATAGTAAACAGAAATGGGGCCTGGGGCTATAACTCAGTGCTAGAGTGTCTGCCTAGCATGCAGGTACTGAGTTTAATTCTAATTCTGATTTAATCCAGTTTAATCCTAATCCTTGATTCTACCAGGAGGCAGTGCTTTCAAAAGGCTTCCCTTGGGGAGAATACAAGACTGTTTCTGAGTCATGTATTGGTCATTTTATTTGCAGATTATATTTTTTCAAATCCTCTGGGTAAATTCACAAATTAATTGACATGTCTTTTGAAAAAAAACATACATGCACACACACACAAAGACACACACATACACAGTTTTCTTTAAAGCCAGCCACTCCAGGGTTCACTGTGGGTCTCCAAAAGAGCTGCAGGGAGACCAGTTTAATTCTTTGAAGTTATGTGCAAATTTTTACATGAATGTGCATTTTCCTGAAAGGAACTGTGAGATTCTTACAGGGCCATAACCTCACAGTGTTCAGAACCACTAGGATGCACATGGATACACAATCTTGATACTCCCAGTACCTGGTTAAGTTTTTCTACTGCTGTTACTAAAGTGAGCCCGAACACTACAGGGGAAAATTAAGTTCCACTTTGAGGGAGGTTCACAGGGGAGGACTGCTTACCTGGGATGTCCTTCATCATCTACTGTACTTGTGCTTGGTGGAGCATCATGGGACACTGCCAAAAGCAGCCAGTCAAGTCTTAAAGATTCTGGTTGTAGAAGGAACTCAAGGAAGGATGGCCTGAGGGCAAGTTGGGGTGAAAAAACTATTAATTTTCATGAGAGAAAACAAAGTAGGTGGATGTAAAGAAAACAATAAAGGATAACTTGTAATCTCCTCTAGTACCAAGGCTAGAAATGCTAGTGAGAGCATCAGTCTGCTAAGTGAGTAACCTAGGTGTAAGGCGATAAGGGAAAGCTAGAGGGAGGCGGGGAAAGGGGTGGCCGGGTGGCAAACAGGGAACGAAGACTCTCCGGTCACATAACTAAACGGAGCTGACGGCCACGGAGAGGACAAACGATGGCCTGGCCTGAAGGACAGAGCAGGAGCAGAAATCCACTCCTGAGAGTCAGGCTACTGCAGTGAAAAGCACTCACTGGTGGGGGAATAAAAATCTTGTCTGCTTTGCGGGAAGTCCTGTTCAATCAAGAATTTATTTTCTTTTTGAAGATTATTTATTTTTATTTTATGTGTGTGTGCTGCCTGCACATATGTGCACCATATGTATGTAGTACCTTCAGAGGCCACTCAGATCTCCATAACTGGAGTTATAGACTGCTGTGAGCTGTCACATGAATGCTGGGAATGGAACCTAGGTCGCCTGCAAGAGCAGCAAGTACTCCTAACTGCCTAGCCATCTCTGCAGCATGAGGGACTGAATTTTATGCCAAGACTCTGAGACTCTCTCAGAGAGGAGGTGAAGTGTGGTGTATGAGCATCTGTGGTGGATGCTGTGCAGGGGAGGTGTGTGCTGAGGGGTATAAAAATGCCCAAATCCGCATCTTCCACAGTAGGTGCCTCACCCTCCTCAGAGCCGGCAGTGAAAATGTGACCACAGCTCATACAATAGAAACAACGTTCCGCCTAGAACAGAGACTACACACGCCTTCTCACCACTGATCTTCAGGCCTTGATTTCACCAGACTGTCGAGATAGGCCAAAAACTGAGCTGGATGGTGACGGCAAAGCTGTGCAATGTCTGAAGGCGAGATGGACGGGTAAAACTTGATGAAGGCTCGAAGGGCTGACTCCCCAAACCTATCATACAATCTGTATTTGAAAACAGAGCATATCAGTCTCCCACTTCATTGCCATATGATTTGGTTATACTATGAACTCATTAGAAATAAAAATAAATATTCTAATAAGAAGCTGCACAAAAAGCCAGGCAGTGGTGGTACATGTCTTTAATGCCAGCACTTGGGAGGCAGAGGCAGGTGGATCGCTGAGTTCAAGGCCAGCCTGGCCTACAAGAGCTAGTTCAAGAACAGCTAGGGCTGTTGCACAGAGAAACCCTGTCTCTTAAAAAAAGAAGAAGAAGAAGGAAGAAGAAGAAGGAAGAAGGAAGAAGAAGAAGAAGAAGAAGAAGAAGCAGCAGCAGCAGCAGCAGCAGCAGCAGCAGCAGCAGCAGCAGCAGCAGCAGCAGCTGTACAATATACAAATGAGTCAAACTTTAGATACTAATCCATAAAAACATTGCAGATGTTTAGGTACAGGACTACCTACCGGGTGGCAAACGCGATCAACAAGGGACTATCTGAAGGGACCGAGTCATCCAGTAACTGTAATGCTGTGGGCAGGTCTCTGTCTTCCATCTCCGTGTATGCAGGATTAGAACGTGCCATTTCTGAAAACAAAGAAAAAAACCAGTCTTTCCCTTCACCTCTTTGCTGCAACTATTCTTGGACACATTCATTTAACCGTCTTCACCACATCCTACTATCACCCACTAGAGTGTCACCCCAATATTTGTTAAGCATTGCAGGAAACAAAAACAGAACCTGACAGGATAAAAATCTCAACTTTTTAAAACCATAAAGTTAAATTGGGAAGTAAAACTCACTAGAATTTTTATTTTGTATATGTGTGTGCTGGGGTACCTACAGATCAGAAGAGAGAATTGGATCTCCTGGAGCTGGAGTTATAAGCCATCTAATGTGGATGCTAGGAATCAAACTCAGGTCCTCTACAAGAGCAGCAAGCACTAGCATTTAGCTTCTAAGCCTCCATTTCAGACTCATGTACTGAAATTTTCAGAGAACAGAAGAGCAAATAGTCTCTACTATGCTTGAAAAAGAAGTTTAAAGGCTGTGTACCATACATATTCATATGTGTACATACAATCACATATGTGTGTATGTATGTATTTGTGTGGTATACACACACACACACACACACACACACACACACACACACACACATCACAAGCCAGATAGCTCAATTATCAATGCCAAACTGCTTAGGTTTTACAGAATTAGAATTCCCATATCATCTCTTAGAGATAAATTCTGTAAAGTTGATTTAAAAATAGTTCACGTTTAAAAATGAAAACAAAACAAAACAAAAAAACAATAGTCAAGCAAATATTTATCCTAAGAAGGAAGAACTGACTTTGAGGAGCAGCCAGAAATCATTTACAGCTAAACTTACTGAATGAAGTGAGTGACGATCTTGCTAAAAATCTCTTTAGGGTTAAAAAGAGAAAAGACTGGGTGTAGTGACACACCTTTGAGCCCAGCACTCAGAAGGCAGAGGCAGGCAGAGCTCATGAGTTTGAGGCCAGCCTGGTCTATGTAGTGAGCTCCAGGACAGCCAGGACTCTGTGGAGAGACACTGTCAAGAATGAAAGGAAAGAAAGGGAAGGAGGGAGGGAATGAGGGAGGGGGAGAGAGGGAGTGAGGGAAGAAAGGATGAAGAGAGAGAAAGAAAACAAGAAAGAAAGGGTATGACTCTAACATGAAATGAGATTTTTTTTTTCCCAGTAGTTTTCAGTGGTGCTAAGACACATAATCAAGAATAGTTTCAGAATTTGTCTTCCATCAAAAAAACAGCTTGTTCTGATGCGGGAAAAGAAGAGCTCACTCACTGTGGCAGAAGTGCAAACTGTCACAGTCGCTATAACAATTTATAGGAGTTTTCTCACAAAGCTGGAACTGGATCTGCCATATGACCCGGGTGCACCACTGCTGGGCATTCACCCCAAAGATCCCAAGTCAACACACCAAGATACCAGCTTATCCATGTCGCAGCTGCAGTGTTCACAACAGCTAAGAAACTGAACAAGCCTGCATGTCCATCAGCGGGTGAATGAACAAAAATATGGTACATAAAAAGATGGAATTTATGTAGTCATAAAGGAAAATGAAATTATGACATCTGTGGGAAAATGAATGCAATTGGAAATCATGTTAAGCAAAACAAGTCAGACTCAAAAAGACAAATGCCATATGTTCTCTCTTATATTGATAGAGAGAGAGCAACAGACAGAAGAGAACTAGACAAGGGGAAGGTAGGAAATGAAAGAGAAAATAAATGATGGCACATATATGGCAATGTCATGATGAAACCCTTTACTGTCTGTGGTAACCTAGAAAATACCTGTATTTATTATCAGCGTGCATGCGTGTGTGTGTGTGTGTGTGATGTGTTTGCATGCATGGGCATGCCACAGCATGTATGTGGGGGTAAGAAGACAACTTGGTGGAGAGAGTTCTCTCTTTCCATCTGAATATAAGTTCTGGAGATGGGAGTCACAGTTCCAGCCTTGTACAGCACTTTTTCCCTCATAAACATCTCTCTGGGGGACTGGAGAGATGGCTCAGTGGTTAAGAGCACTGCTTGCTCTTCCAAAGGTCCAGAGTTCAATTCCCAGCAACCACATGGTGGCTCACAACCATCTGGAATGAGATCTGGTGCCCTCTTCTGGCCTGCAAGCATACATGCAGAATATTAAGAATACTGTATACATAATAAATAAATAAATAAATCTTTAAAAAAAATATCTCTCTGATCCCCGAAACCATTAAAAGACAAAACAAAACCACACCCTCCACAACTGGAATATTATCAGACAGGTGGCACCTGTCTAAAGTCAATTTTCAGCTTCTACTAAAAGGAAAGCAATTGCCCCCATGCTGCTTTCCATTTGACTGCATCAGACAAGAACTTAACGAGCTGGAGATGCAAGAGCAGCTTCATGCTGGGTACCCATGACTTCAGTTCTATGCATGCTCTTCACCCTGCATGCTCTATCTAGGACTGGTATAGTGGTCACCACAGCACTGACAGACTTTTCCTGCCAATTTCTGGGATCAAGGTTGAAGATGACCACACAAGGGAAAAGATGCAATTTAAGTTAAGAGGGCTGTCAGACACTCAACTATTTGAAAACAAGTATCTTGCTTAAGTCACATAAACACAACCTGTGCTTTTAAGCTACGACTATAAGTGAACTGAAGCAGAACTGTAACTGTAGATGTATTTTCTAGGAAGCCAAAAGACCTTCAAGTTAGATAACAGGCAAGTGTGTCACTACCTGTGACAACTGACTGGGCAATGAGGAAAATTGTGTTTAATGTCACAATTGCTAGAGACCATGTGGCTTCTGTTACTCAAGCAAAATTTTGAAGGCAAAAACAAAAAAAAACAAAACAAAAATAAAAAACTTCAAAAACAGGGCAATACAGCAGAGAAGAGCAACAAGTATGAATACAAATCTGTACAGGTGGACAGCAGCTAGTGTGAACTGCAAACAAGCCAGAGTAGTAGGGCTCACACCTTTAATCCCAGCACTCAGGAGGCAGAGGCACGTAGATCTTTGTGAGTTGGAGGCCAGTCTTTGTCTACAGAGCATATTCTGGGGCAGCCAAGGCTACACAGAGAAATCCTGTATCAAAAAACAAAACAAAAGAAAGAAAAATAAAACTAATTTTTTTTATAACAGAGTAACAAGATAAGTCAATATTTGAAGAACTATTAAAGCTTAAATGAGTAAAACACAGGGCCATTGGGATGGCTTAGTGGAAAAAGATGCTTGCTACCAAGTCTGATGATACCTGAACTCAATTCTGGGGACCCACATGGTGGAAGAACAGACTGATTCCAAAGTTGTCTTATGAGCTCTAAAATTGTGTCATGATACATTCGCATATATATGCAGGCATATGCATGCATACATACATACATTCACACACACACATACAAATAAAAAATTTAAAAAGACTGTAGGGGCTGGAAAGCTAACTCAGTAGTTAAAAGCATTTGTTGCTCTTAAGGAGGACATGGGTTTTGTTTCCATCCACCCACAACCACTATAAGTCCTGCTTCAGAGGATCTGATGCTCTCTTCTGACTTCTTCAAGCACTGCAATGTATGGCATATATACAAAGAGATACATATACATACAAAAAACACAAATGATTTTTTTTTTGTTTCTTTTGCTGTTTTTTTGTTTTTTCAAGACAGGGTTTTTTTGTGTAGTCCTGGCCATCCTGGAACAAATAAATACTTTTTTTTAAAGGAGTGAATAGTTGGGCAGTAGGAGCACTCACCTTTAATCCCAGCACTTAGGAGGCAAAGGCAGGCGGATCTCTGTGAGTTCAAGCCAGCCTGATCTACAAAGCATGTTCCAGGGCAGGCAAGGCTGTTACACAAAGAAACCTTGTCAAAAAGAAAGAAGGAAGGAAGGGAAGGAGGGAGGGAGGAAGAAATGAAGAGAAATGAATAGAAAACAAAAGGAAGGGCTGGTCAGCAGAGGTAAGTTTTCTACTCAAATCTTTTGTCAAGTCTCCACATTATAAAACACCTCTACAAGTGGTAATGACATCTGGCTATTACCTTTCAGTCCTTCAACAAAAGTGTCCCAAACACAAGGGCTGTTGGTGTAACTTATCTTGATACTCTCCCTTGCTCTCTTCAAGTCCAGGAGAAAAAAATACTTCTTCAGGAAACGACAAGCCAGGACCTCAGGAGAGAGCTGCTGTGAAGCACAGTCCACATGTCCACCTGTGCTGTCCACTACAGAGGTCAGCACACTCAGTTCCAAACACAGCGTTGTCAATTCTGACAGGTCTTTCTCAAGACTGTTCGATATGGTGTACGGAGAATACACTCGAAAAATGTCGCCCAAGGGCTCACTGAGGCTGCTTACAGATTCACAGGCTGTATGACCACCAGTTTCTTCAATGCCTAAAGAATTCCTCTTTTCTTCTTCACTGTCTTCATCTAATCCTCTCTCTTCTGACTCACTAAGGAGGTGCACATCCGGGCTCAATTTCACAGGCAGACTGCTGCTACTGGAAATGCCAGCAGGGCCCTTCAGGGCAAATGTTTTCTCTAACTGTGAAAGCCACTTCTGTAAAGCTGTTCTTAGTGACTTGGGTTCAAATAAAACCAGAGGGTCCAGTAACTTGGTCCTATGCAAAACAGATGAATGTGAACATTGTCTCATTTGTTTTTAAAAATTAGATTATTTCAGAACAAACCTAACTGATAAAGCATACTCATCTAAGAATAAAGGTTGCTTTTGAGTTCTTTAAATGACAATTATCCCAACAGTCCAATGAGACAGACATCACCGCCTCTGGAGTACGTTACTGACTCCTGAATATCCATGGCAAATACCTCTGACCTAGACAGTCAAGACAACTACTGATACTGCCCAAGGCAAACCCCACTCACAGTAAATCCTCCACACTCACATTGCTTCCGCTGTCTCTGCTCTGAGTTCTTGAAGCCTGTCTTCTTCAGGAAGTTGACTAATTTCTTTCTCCCTAGAAAAGCATAAAAAAGAAATAATCCTATTCACAAGCATTAGGGGCAACCAAACTTTCTTAGACCAAGACTTCTATTTACTGCTTACTAAATGGCGAGTGTGCCACATGTTACACTGCTTTAAAGAGTCTTTTATTCCATATTATCTTTACCAAACATTCCGTTTCTATTCACTAAGGGATAGCACATCCTAGAGCTGACAGGCCAGGCAGCATTAATGACTAAAGTTTAAGCTATTCAGAAGGGCTAGGACAAAACCTGGATCTCAGCCACCTCGTCTTAATCTAAGACTCCTCCTACATTCCAGGAAGGTGACAAGATGACAGAGAGGGAGAAAGGTGAATGAGATACGAAACTAAAACCCTGTCTCAATAGAGTTAATTCCTCTAGACTAGAATTTAGCTTCTGAGCTACACAACAATCTTCAGTGAGCAGCGTCATACCGACAGGGTCTCTCACAGTAACAGTCTCTGACACACTCACACTGGCAGTGGTCTAGCATTCCAGACTCTGACATAAGGCTTACTCAGCGTCTTCCTCTAGATGGCAGGTAACTGCATTCGCTTCCTCTTCGTGTGCTTGGTCAACATCCTTGGATTCAAATGTCTCTTTCAGCTCAGGGCTTGCGTGAAGGGTGCCGATCTTCTCAGTTGTTTTACGCACAAAGCAAGAAACACTGGAAGTCAAATATCAAAAACCTAACATGAAAATATATCAACATTGTAAAGAGTGAAAAATCTGTTTCCTGACGTTCCTGTTTCCATTAGTACTACATAGCCAGCTTGAGTTTAACAACAAGACAGGTTACTTAAAACAATTTCTCTGAGCAACCCCATTTCACATGAGGCTCATATAAACTCACAGTAAGATGATTCACTGTTTGTAAAACTGTCCCGAGGCCAGTGAGTCAATGCTAAAGGGCAGATTTCTAGTGGGGTTGTCTGTTCAATGTAATGTCTCTTTCACCTCAGTTAAGCATGTGATCATCAGTCAATTCCTGATCAGAGACTAATAAGAAACAGACCCTTCTACAGGAAGAATGTGCACCCAGCAGGACGCAGGCAAGTAGATGGGCAAAAGATACATCTTCTCTCTCATTCTCAGTGCCAAGATTGGTTTCATACACAGACTAGAAAGAATTCTCAAAAATCTCCAGTTCTGGGGCTGGAAAGATGGCTCACAACCATGTATAATAGGATGTGATATCTGATGTTCTCTTCTAGTATGCAGGTATAAATGAGGAGCACTCATACATAAAATAAAAATAAAAAATTTTTAAAAATCTCCAATTCTCAAGGGCTGAAGAGATGGATCAGATCAGCGGTTAAGAACATTGGCTGCTTTTCCAGAGGACGCAGGTTCAATTCCAGTCACCCACATGGCAACTTACAACTGTCTAACTTCAGTTACAGGGGCTCTGACATCCTCACACATACATACACACAGTAATTAATGTTCATAAAATCTCCAATTCTCCCAGGTGTGGTAGTGTGCTTTTAACCCCAGCACTCAGGAGGCAGAGGCAGGTAGATCTCTGTGAGTTTGAGGCCAGGCTGTGATGCGGGAGAATTATCTGTATTCTGTCAATCATATTTTAATAAAATGCTGATTGGCCAGGCAGGCAGTATAGGCGGGAAAACCAGACAGGAAGTAGAGGTGATGCAATGAGAACAGGAGAATTCTGGGAAGCAGGGAGGTTCCTCTGCCATTCCTGCGCAGACCACCGAAGAGGCAACATGTAAGTTGTCACACTAAGAAAGGTACTGAGCCTGTGTGGCTAACATAGATCAGAATAATGGGTTAAGATAAGTCATAAGAACTAATAAGTAGCCTGACCTAATGGACCAATCAGTTTATAACCTTATGGAGTCCTGTGTGTGATTTTTCCTTGGGGGTTGCCAGCTGTGGGGTACTGGGCGGGAACAGATACCCCAACAAGCCGGCCCCCATCATGTTACAAGGCTGATCTACATATGGAGTTCCATGCCAGCTAGAGCTACATAGTAAGAACATGTCTCAAGAAAGGGGGAAAAATCCTCCAGATTAACCCATTAAGTGAGAAAGAATCAAGAAATAACTAATGGGCCAAAAAGACACCTCAGCTGGTATAAGGTGTTTTCTACTCTTTTAGAGAACCTTGGTTCAGTTCCCACTACCCATATAAAGGCTCAAAACCACTTATGACTCCAGTTCCAGAGGATCTGACATGGCCTGGCCTCCACAGGCAGCATGGTGTACAGGAACTCACACAAGTTCACACACATCAATACAAATAGATAAATCTTCACACATAAAAAAAGACTAAATGGGCCAGAGAGAGGCTGAGTAGGTAAAGGCCCTTGCCACCAAGCCTGACAAGATGAGTCTGATCCCTAGACTCCACATGGAGAAGGAAAGAAATAATGAGATGAAGTTGTCCTCCACCTCCACGTGGATGCACTATGGCGTACACCAGGGAAGAGGCTGAAATACTTAGTTGTGCCATGTCTGAAGTGGGAGTAGGGGCTCATCTACGACTAAACTACTCAGCTACACAAATGAAGAGGAACACTCAAGTTCACCCAAGGTTAAAAGGGGAAGCCAACAGTTCATATTAACAGATTATTAGAGAAATAACGTGAGACCTTCTATTTATTTAACATTTAAAATGCCTTTTCCTTCTCAGTATGTCATGTGACAACTGAAGCAAAATGAGAACTAGAATTAAATGACATGACTGGTTCATTTACCTTTCTTTAACAGCCTGAAGAGACACCAGCGGAGATGGAGAACGAAATGGCAGTGGAATGCTGAAGGGCAGAAAAGCTTCACTCTTGTCTGTCTCAGACATCACTGGACCATGGGAAACATTGTCTAATAAACAGAATCAGGGAAAAATAAACATCTAATCACATGAAAGTTTTTTATACAAAGCTAAACAAATTCAGCAATGAATAAACCAAAGGAAATGAAGGATTTGGTACCAAAATTATAACTGACTCAGATACAAATGAGCACAGAACACAGGTTTCTGGGATGCACGGATGGTCCACATGAAACACTGAGCCAGGTACCTTTATCCAACTACTAACCCTGTATCCCCACAAGTCACAAAGGTAGGTTAGGGTTTCTACTAATCTCTTCTCAACAGATCGGTCACAGGAATGCTGAACATTGAAAAGGGAAGGCAATGGCTCCCAAAACGAGCTATCTTTCATTCCTGGTGGAAAATAATGTGGTTAGTTATGGTTAAAAAAAAAAAAAAAAAAAAAAAACCTGTCCAGCATTTTGATACATGAACCAAATTAGACACTTTACAAATGTTAGTCCAAACAAGAGGTTAAAAACAACCTACACATCACTACCTCCTAGTGACCAGCAGATCTATAGGTGGCTAGTCTCTAATAGGTTAAAATTTACTCATAACTGACAGAAACTCTGCATAAGATTATCCTGTCCATTCACAGAGAGCACTGTTCCTCGTCAGTGACCAATAAGAGACACACTCATCACCGTCATTTCTGTTTGTTCCACAGTCCTGCTCTGGCTGTTCTTCTTCCTGGGGCGAGGCAAATTCTCTAAGTCTTTCATCTTCTGAGAAGGTCTGACTGTGAAGGGAGCAGGAGTCTTCTTCGGACTGACTGCCTCTTCTACTACTAATGATTCGATAAATACCAGAGTCCAAGATGCTAAAACTTTCCTAAAAATGAAAAGAATTCCCCTTCAAAATCAAAGTTCTTCTGTGTAAGACAACGCATCTTTTTCAGAATAAGAGCAACACTGGGCCGAAGGTCAGCAGTCAACTAGTTTATCAGCACACACTAGTGGAGAGTGCGGGCACCTAGCACAGGCTCAGAAGAGCAAGTGACACCATGTCTTCCACCAAATTCTCAGCTTGGCTTTGGAAAGCAGGCAGTGAGGAAGGGAGTTGAAAGGAGACAGTCCTGAGTAGCACTGAGACTTCAGGTGATATAAAACATCTGAAATCTCAGACTGAAAGCTACCCCACCTAGACAGGAAGCTATGTAAAGGACAGTTGGGAACGGCAGGCAATAAACAGTGACGGAAACAAATGCAGCTTCAGAACATACTTGACTTTCCTTAGCTGCTCGTCATGGGAGAAAGCTCCCGTGTTATATTTTGGATTCTATGGTGCTACTAAGAGGTGGTAACCCTTCAGAAGTAGGGCTCAGTGGAAAGTTAGGTTACTAGAGGTATGCTCTTGAATGTGATACTGGGACCATTCCCTCCTTGTTTTTCTCAGCTTCCTGGATATCATTAGGTGAGCAGCTTTCTTTTACCATGTTCTTCTTGCCAAAGCCCTAAGGGACAATACCAGCTAACTATGTACTAAACTTCTCAAACCACAAACCAAAATAAGCTTTCCCTTCTTACAAAGTGTTCAGCTCAGGTAGTCTGAAAAGTAACAAAAAAATCTGACATCTCCATGACACTTTCCCCAAAAAATTACTCCATGGAAAGCAAAACAGATCCTTGGACTTGCTCATTTCCCTGCAAGATCCAAAAACTCATAAAGGAGCTACTGGGCTGGCAGAATGGCTTAGTGGGTAAAGGTACCTGATGCCATGCATAATGACCTAAGTTCAATCCTCAGGACTCAGATGGAGGGAGAAAAGAACTGATTCCTAAAAGATGTCCTCAGACCTCCATTTGTGTTTGCTGGCATGTGCATGTCCCCTTCTCCCCAATACACACATACTAAACAAATAAGCTAAAAAGAAAAGCACTCACATGTGATGAAATGGAGCTTCTTCTACTACTGCAAGCTGAATCCAAAGGCTCAAATTTTAAGATCAGTTCATCCAGTTGAGAAATTAGTTCACTGCAGGTTATAAGGTCCAGCTGCGATTTCAAATGCTCTAATTTATCTGCAGTTAATGTTTTTCTTGCCTAATAAAAGGATAAAAAAAAAAAGAGAGAGAGAACAGCTTACTGTCTATAGCCACATCTATATCCAAACAGCCACGGGATTCACACAAGACTAAGCCTTACGGGTGTTCTGAGGTTTAAGTACATGTTGTATATTAAGAGTTACCATATGCACAATCATCCTCTTCAAATCAAGCTCTAAAATTAAAATATATTTGTGAATTAATCTGACTTTTTGCTTGATTTTTGTTTTTCAAAACAGGGTTTAGAGACCCTGCGTAGCCCTTACTGTCCTTGAACTCACTTTGTAGACCAGGCTGGTTTCAAACCCACATAGATCCACTTGCCTCTGTCTCCCAAGTGCTGGAATTAAAGGCGTGCACCACCACACCCAGCTCTGATATTTATTTGAAACCAAAAAATTCACCATCTTTATTACCCTTCACAGATATAATTGCCAAGCTTTCTTTGAAGACTGTAACTCTACATGTGTAAGTCATACAGAACAGTTAATAAAGATAAGCTAGGATGGTTTGACCAACCCATAATTAACAACTACAGGTAAGCTCTAACTCACTCTGCTGGTAATGATAGAATTCTGGAAGAGACAGCATGTGCGAGCAGCCAGGTCCCACAGGCCTCTCCTTAACAGGCGTTCCACACAGCGCTCAACAGACAACAGGGAAAGATGCGAGATTTTCCCATTAAAGTGTAAACAGAACAACTCATTCTTGTAGACAGCTACATCCTGAATATCTATAAAACAAACAAACAAACAAACAAAACACGGGGGTGAACAGACAAGACATTAATCAAATACTTCTTGCTCTTTTTTTTTAAGTCCTGGGCTAGAGAAGTAGCTTAGTGATAGGGCTCTTGCCTAGAATGAACAAGACCCCATTCTTGATCCCCTGCAGTGGAAGGGAAACCCTATCATTTTTACATGGGCTAAAATCATACTTACAAAAATCTTAAATAAGATTTTGCTTGTCAAGCTGTGGTAGGGCATGCCTTTAATCCCTGCACTTGGGAGGCAGAGGCAGGAGGAAGATCTTGTGAGTTAGAGGCCAGTCTGGTCTACAGAGTGAGTTTCAGAACAGCCACGGCAACACAAAGAAATCCTGCCTTGGAAAAAATGATTTGGCTCAGTGTAGTTTCATTTCTTTTAATACTTGAACTTCAATGAAGAAATCATATTTAGACACGTTTCCAAGATTAGAAAACAAATGAGCTTTCTGATCTAAAATCCTAATTTTAAGATGCTAATTCCTGTGAAAAGGAATTGGGAGTACAAAAGTAGAGCGTATGTTTTGAGTCAGGCTATAATATTCGAGAAAATTACAACCTGGCACTCACATGAATAGATTTTAACAAGTATATAAATGGATGAATCTTGCATGAGTAGGTATGAACACATGAAAGAAAGAATCTAACATACTAATTTGCAAGGGAAATCCTCAATTGGTGGAAAACAACCTATAAGAAATCAATGTGGATCAATAATGACCTCCCTCCTTTCTCTGCAGAAAAGACTCTAAAAGTCAAAGCCAAAGCACTATCTTACCAGCTATGCTAAATTTTCCTATATTTCTGGTTTCAACCATGAGTACAGGGACTGATTTTCTGTTAGTCACATACAATGACTATTCCCTGCATTTTCAACTTCTCACATTATAAAATAATTATAATATAATTAATTTTCACACACAAATAAGAGACTAAAAGTTACTTAAGAAAGAAAAATACAATTACCTTTGACTTCACTCCAAAGAAGAACTTGAATATTTTGAGGAATGAAAATATAAATTCCTTTTTCTGTCCATGTCAGCACACAGTGTTCACTGGAAGAGAAAATAAAAGAGGTCAAAAACAAAACAAAACACCCTCATGTACACTAGAGCATAGAACTTTAAAATTCTCTGGACTCAATCTCTTATTAGCTATTAAAGTAAAATCAGACAGTACAAAGGAAATACAGCAGTGCCCAGCTGATTCAACCTTACCATCTTCTTTCCAAGCCCAATAAAAACATAGGATCAAGTGGTGTCAAATTGGGAAAATTTAGACACAAACACAAATAACTTTAGGGAAAAAAAAAAGACTGATCTCTGGAAAAAAAAAACCTATTAAGAGGGAATTATGTGATCCTGATGCAACTTCTCAGATAAAACAGACAGACACTCATTTAAATAGACCAGTAAGTTACAGTCAATCAACTGAGGAATCCCTATCAAGAAAGGCAAAATTCTGACTTGATCTGTGTATGTAGGTGAACACAGGCTAAGAAGACCTGGCCAAGTCCATCCGTACCAAAAGTATTAAGAAAGGCTCCAGTTATATTCTCTAATGAGGTCCATTAAGCTACAAAAGTGCTATTTTGTAAGAGAGATAATCACATGCGAAGGTCATTCAGCAGAAAGGTAGAAGACCTCACATTTAGACTGCAGAGTGCAGCCACCAAAGCTGGAGCTTCCCTCTGAACCTCACAGGACTTTCTCCCTCATTTCCCACCAGAAACTCCGGCCCTTTCTTCAATACACATCCCTGACTCTCTAGCTGTCTCTCCTTTTCTGCTTCTCTTTTTCGATCTAATGTACTTGCAAGGATGAATATATCTATAGACGTCACTTTCTTTCGCATGACTGGCAGGTTGTTACTAAGCACACATGCTCTCCCATCTAGCCACCCTCCAAGGCTAGCAGATCTACTCTCCCCTGATGCTGCCCCACAGTCCAGTCTAGCACCTTCTCCTGACGTGGCAACTTCTTATCCACTGCTTCATCGTGCACTGCAGTATTTTGCAGAAAGAAACATCTCTCCAACAAGATTATAATCCTGTGAACTTGCAGCTTTTTTCCATATATATCTAACATATATATCTAATAATCACATGCCTATGATCATAATCAGTAAAATTGGTAAAATACCTTTAAGAGTCAGAGGGGATATTCAACTTGTAAAATTTATTTTTTAATTACATTTTTTGTTTGTTTTTGCTTTAACTTTTGTTTTTCAAGGCAGTGTTGCTCTATATAGCTCTGGCTGTCCTGGAACTCAGAGGTCTGCCTGCTTCAGCCTCATGAGTGTTGGGACTAATGGCATGCACCACCACAACAGGCTAAAAATTCTATTTTTATTTACTTTGTGTGTATGTGTACGGGAATGCATGTGACATGAAACATTTGTGAAGGTTAGAGGACAACCTGCAAAAATCTGTTCTCTCCTTTGACCATGTGGATCTCATGGCTCAAACTCAGGTAATCAGGCTTGGCAGTAGGCACCTTTATCCACTGAGCCATTTCAGACACCCAACTTGCAAAATGCCCTTGATGTAATAATCCAAGGGCTGAGAGAGGGCTCAGTAGTTAAAAACATTGATTGCTTTCCCAGAAGACCTGGGTCAATTCCCAGCACCCACATGGCAACTCACAACTGTCTGTAACTCCAGTTCCTGGGGATCTGACGTCCTCACACAGATATACATGCATGCAAAACAATAATGCACATATTTTTTTAAAGGAAGAAAGAAGAGAAGAAATAATAACCCAAATAGTAACCCAGAGGCTGGAAAGTTAGTTCAGTGGTTAAGTGCACTCTGTTCTTCCAGAGGACCCAAGTTCAGTTCCCAGGACCCATGGCCAGCAGCTTATAACTGCTGCCAACTCTAGCAACAGGGGATCCAATACGCTATCTTTAGACTTCCTTCACCACCCCCCACACAGAGCAGATACACACACACACACACACACACACACACACACACACACCTAAGTGAAATGAATATAAGAGGAATAGCAGATAAAGTCTGGATGAAATGAAGGATACAAAGGAGACATAAGAGCCCATACTTATTCTTCATAACATTCTTCATCCTCTTATTCCTTCACGGGTAATAAACCAGAACACCAAAGCTAAAAGAATTGTTTAAGAAGTCAAATAAAAAGTATAAACAAAAAAGTCAAAGAAGGCTGGCCATTGTGCCACAACCTTTAATCCCAGCACTCAGGAGGCAGAGGCATGTGAATCTCATTGAATTTGAGGCCAGCCTGGTCTACATAGCAAGTTTTAGGCCAGCCAGGATCACACAGAGAAAGCCTGTCTCAAAACAAATAGATAATAAATAGATTAGATTAGATTAGATTAGATAGATAGATAGATAGATAGATAGACAGACAGACAGACAGACAGATAGATAGATAAAGTCAAAGAAGCTGGGCACATGCCTATGATCACAGCACTAAGGAAACTAAGGCAAGAATTGCCACAAGTTCAAAGCCAGCCTGTGCTACAAAGCAAGTACCAGGCTAACCAGGGCTATGCAGCACTATTAACAGTAACAACAACAAAGTCAGAGATAAGAAGGTGACACAAATGTACCACAGAAAATACAACACATAAGAAGCTGGCTACCATCTAAAACTCCAGTTCCAGGATATCTGCAGGCCCGAGACAAACATGAGTCATATACACACATATAGAAAGAACACTCATACACATAAAGTAAATATATCCAAATATATTGTTTTAGAGAATGCCTCCATGTGAGATTTGGAGGGGGTACCAGTAGAAACACCCTAAGTCACAAATGTGGGGGCAAGAATAAACAAACAGAACAGAGGCAGTTTGCCTGCTATTGTTTTTCAAAAGCAGCCTACATTGAATGCACGACTGTCTGATGGTCTAATGTGTACTTAGCACTGTGATGCTCAAATGAATCTGATAGTGGCAATAAGTGAGGGATGGACGTAGTCTGAAGAAAGGACATAGAAACAAGTATCTAACCCACGCCAGAGCAGTCACGAAGGCAAAGCGGCATCAATTACTGCTGAGAAAGCTAAGCTGTTGACCATGAAAGGTCTGGCTTCCTGCAGCAAGAGAGGTAAGAGAGCTCCCTTTAAATCACTAAATTCAAGCGACAGTCTGCCTGGAGAACCAAGCACGCTCCTAAGAAAGAATATATTCTGTTTACTCCGCCCCCCCCCGCCCCAAGCTGAGGACCAAACTCAGGACCTTCTGCATACCTAGCAAGTGCTCTACCACTGAGCTAAATCCCCAACCTGAGAAAAAAAATACAATCTCTAACATAGCTAGGTCATGATGTAACATCTCACTCACTCCACACATCACATAGTCAACAAATATGATATCTACCATCTACCAGATACTATGTCAAACACTACAAACACAGCACTGGATAAAGGAGCCACAAAGCTCACATGGAGCTCACTGTTTAAGGGTAAGGAGAGTATAAGTATTTTATGAACACAAAATTATAAACATGATAAATGCTATGCAAGGAGACCAATAATGGAGGGAGTTTTTAATATGATTTATGTAAGTATAGCAAGTAAGTGGCTGCCTTTCTCCAGCAACTTTCAGAATAGATTATTAATTTCAGAGTTAAAATACCTATAATTCACTTTAAACACCTTGGTGTAGATTTTGTGACATGAGCTAATTTAACCTTTGTGGGGAAAAGTTAACATTTTCACTACATTTTGAAAGAGCAGCTAGTTACCTTTGAAAAGCCCTGGTCAGTAGACCACATGGTAGAGCACCTATAAAAATCACTATCCTTCTCTGAGTTCAGTCAGTTATATTAACTAGCAGAAGGGATATTAGGAATAACTTCTCACAGTAAAGCAATCAGAGCTCACAGACCCCACACTGCACCTCTGCCATGCACAACAAGCTGCTGACAGAGTAGCACTCCATGCTGCTTAGCATTTGACTCTGGGCTAATGCAACGAGGTAAGCTGACCCTTACATGAGAATGAACTGAGTCGGCCTGGAGCAGATCTTTCATACAAGTTACTTGTTGGAAGACCTAAAAGGCAAAAAGCTGAAGTTTCACTGTGCTTTCAAAAACAGGCTCCACAACTGTTAATGTCCTCTATGCTAGCACTGACTAGATCCAAGCAGGGAGTTTATAAAAGAATGAGTACCCTCACCAGAGAATACTAACTGCCAGAAAGCTCCCTGACAATTATAAACTCTCCTTCTAGTTTGGAAAAGGATCTCTTCATTTATTTTACTACTGAATATTATATGCAACACAATCATGTACAAATGTCCCAAAAATAAATTAACATAAAAACAACCTTAAGAGATAAAAGTGGCTATCCCCCACAACTTCAGAGGAACTCTGAAGCACAGGCTGCCACTGCACAAAGAGAACCAAGAGGTGAGTGATCACCCACCCAGCTGGACACACCACTCTCTAGGCCCTTGTAACTGGGTAAAAGCCCAGGCCCCTCCCCCAACTAACACAGCTTCTCTAGCCAGCCAGCAGGCAAGCTTCCTGCAAGTAGGCTAGTCCAACACCCCCACCCCATTGATCGGACCCTGAAAGTTACAAGTTCCACTCTGCCCCCAAATCCTCCTATCCCCCGCGACCTCAGAAGAACTCTGAAGCACAGACTGTGACTGCACAAACTGGACCAAAAGAGCAGATCAAGAGAGGGGGCCAAGAGATACCTCAATGGCTCTCTAAGACACAGAGAGCAACAGGACAAAGCAGACCGAGAACAGTTCCCAAAGACACTGATAGCAACTGCAAGGACTGGACCAAGAGGCAAAGACACTGCTAGCACCAATTGGAGAAAGAGATGGGTAGGCACCAATGCAAGAATTCATTCAACAACCTAAAAAGCAACTTGGTAACACCAGAACCCAGTGATCATACAACAGGAAGACTTGAACATCCTAACCCAGAAGAAACAGAAGAAAACAATTCTAAATGTAACATTATGAGGATGATGGAGACCTTTAAAGAGGAAATGAAAAATTCTCTTAAAGAATGGAAGAAAAGAAAAGATTGGAAGAAATCAATAAATCTCTCAAAGAAACCCAAGAAAACTAAGAAAAAACAAATAGGTGAAGCAAATAGTTCAGACAGTTCAAAACTAGAAGACTGAAATAAATAAAGGCAATAAAACATAAACCAAAGGGATTCTCGAAATGGAAAATCTGGGTAAATGAATGAGAACTACAGAGACAAGCATGACCAACAGAATACAAGAGATGGAAGAGAGAATCTCAGGTGCTGAAGATACTAAAAGGAAATAGATACATCATTCAGAGAAAATGTTAACTCCAACAAATTCTTAACACAAAACATCCATGAAATCTGGAACATCATGAAAAGACCAAACCTAAGAATAAAAGGGATAGAAGAAGGAGAAGAACTCCAGCTCAAGTGCACAAAAAGTATATACAACAAAATCATAGAAGAAAACTTTCCCAACATAAAGAAGGGTATCCCTAGGAAAGTACAAGAAGCTTACAGAACACCAAATAGACTGGACCAAAAAAAGAAAAGTGTCCCTGCCATATAATAATCAAAACACAAAACATACAGAATAAAGAAAGAATATTAAGAGCTGCAAAGCAAAAAGGTCAAGTAACATATAAAGACAGACCTATCAGAATTACACCTGGTTTCTCAGTGGAAAACATGAAAGTCAGAAGGTCCTGGACAGATGTGCTACAGACACTAATAGACCACGGATGCAATCCCAGACTACTATACCCAGCAAAGCTTTCAATCAACATCGATGGAGAAAACAAGATATTCCATGACAAAACCAAATTTAAACAATACGTATTCACAAACACAGTCCTACAGAAAGTACTAGAAAGAAAACTTCAACTCAGGAAGCTAACTGGATCCCAAAAAACACAGGCAAGAGATAACTCCCCATCAACAAACCCCAATGAAGGGAAACACACAAACACTATCACCAAAAAATAACAAGAATTAATAATTACTAGTCATTGATATGTCTTAATATCAATGGACTCAATTCACCTATAAAAACACACAGGCTGTAGATATAGTAGGGAGGGCCTTGGACCATCCACAAAGCAATGCAACTTACCCTCTCTGAGGATTGGATGGGAGTGGGGAGGAAGGGTATGTGGAAGGAGTGGGAACTTGGACTGGTATGTATAATGAAAAAAGATAGTTTGTTTTCTTTTTTTTAAAAAAAATATTTATTTATTTATTTATTATGTATACAATATTCTGTCTGTGTGTATGCCTGAAGGCCAGAAGAGGACACCAGACCTCATTATAGATGGTTGTGAGCCACCATGTGGTTGCTGGGAATTGAACTCAGGACCATTGGAAGAATAGGCAATGCTCTTAACCGTTGAGCCATCTCTCCAGCTCCCGTTTGTTTTCTTTTTTAAAAAGAAATAAATTTATTAAAAAAAAAAAAAAGGGACACAGGCTAAGAGAATAGATACAAAAGAAGGATTCATTCTTCTGCTGTATACAAGACACACACCTCAACCTCAAAGACAGACATTACCTCAGAGTAAAGGGTTGGGAAAAGATTTTCCAATCAAACGGACCTAAGAAGTAAGTGGGTTGGGCTGGAGAGATGGCTCAGCAGTTAAGAGCACTGACTGTACTTCCAGAGGACCCGGTTCAATTCCCAGAATTCTCACGGCAGCTCACAACTGTCTGAAAATGCAGTTCCACGAGATCTGACACCTTCACACCAATGCACATAAAATAAAGTTAAATAAATTATTTAAAAATTTTTTAAAAAAGAAAGAAGTGGGTATAGCTTTCCTTATATCTAACAAAATAGATTTCAAACTAAAACCAAACAGAAGAGATGGAGGACACTTCATACTCATCACTGAAAAAAGATCCATCAAGATGAAGTCTCAATCTGATTATCTATGCCCCCAATACAAGAGCACCCACATATGTAAAAGAAACATTACTAAAGCTTAAATCGCACATCAAACCCCACACGCTAATAGTAGGAGACCTCAACACTCCACTCTTGTCAATAGACAGGTCAACCACACAGAAACTTAGCAAAGAAATAAGAGAACTAACAGGATTGGAGAGATGGCTCAGAGGTTAAGAGCACTGACTGCTCTTCCAGATGTCCTGAGTTCATAATGTGGTGAGCAACCACATTATGGCTCACAGTCATCTATAATGAGATATGGTGCCCTCTTCTGGCATACAGGTATGCATGGAAGTCGAATGTTGTATACAGAATAAATAATTCTTCAGAAAAAAAGAGAGTGTGAGAGAACTAACAGACGCCATGACTCAAATGGACTTGACAGACATCTATAGAACATTCCACCCAAACACAAAAGAATATACCTTCTTCTCAGCACCTCATAGAACCTTCTCAAAAACTGACCACATACTTGGTAACAAAGCAAACCTCCACAGATACATAAAAAAAAAAAACCTGGAATAACGCCTTTATCATATTGGAATACCACGGTTTAAAGTTAGAATTCAACAACAACACTAACTGCAGAAAACCTATAAACTCATAGAAACTGAACAGTGAACTATTGAACCACCCCTGGGTCAAGGATACAGAAAGAAATTAAAGACTTCCTAGAATTCAACAAAAATGAAGGAGGAACATATCCAAACCTATGGGACACTATGAAAGCAGTGCTAAGAGGAAAGTGCATAGCACTAAGCGCCTACATAAAGAAAATGGAGAAATCTCACACTAGCGACTTAAGAGCACACCTGGATGCCGGAAGCAAAGACCTATATTTTGAGACCTGTATTTTGTTTATAGCAATCTTAAGTCCACAAATTAAGTAAAATATTCACCTCTGTCACCTCTGCAGGGTTAGTTCCAGACCTAGGAAATTAACTTAGTATCTCATCTCCTTGTGAGACCTGCAAGTCCCAGGCTTTAGAAACAATTAGCATTTCCTTTGTTAGTTAATCAGCCAGAGATGCTTCCAGACCTGAATTCCAGCAGACCAACTTTCCAGAATCCTGCTCTCCGCCCTGCCCTTTTGCTATAAAATGCTCCTGAGAGAAAATAAAATTTGCAGCTTGATCAGAAAGCCAAACTTGCTGTCCTTTCTCGTGTCTCTTGTCCCCTTCATTCCTCTCTCCAGGAATTATCAGGTTTATCAGGGACACCGTTTGTGTCCCGCTGATGGGGACACCTGAAAGCTCTAGAATAAAAAGAAGCAGACTCACCCAGGAGGAGTAGAAGACAGGAAATAATCAAATTGAAGGCTGAAATCAATAAGAAAGAAACAAAGAAAAAATACAAAGAATCAATGAAACAGCCAACTCTTTGAGAAAAAAACAAGATAGACAAACTCTTATCCAAACTAATCAAAAGGCAGAGAGACAAAATTCAAAATAACAAAATCAGAAATAAAAAAGAGGACAGAACAACAGACAAAGAGGAAATCCTGAGAAACATTAGGTCATACTACAAAAACCTGTACTCCATAAAATTAGAGAATGTAAAAGAAATGGCCAATTTTCTGGATAGGTAATACATACCAAAATTAAATTAAAACCAAATGAACAATTTAAATAGACCTATAACCTTCAAGGAAATAGAAGCAGTTATCAAAAGCCTCCCCCCTCCCCCCAAAAAAGCCCAGGGCCAGATGGTTTTAATGCAGAATTCTGCCAGAACTTCAAATAAGAGCTAATACCTATACTCCTCAAGGTGTTCCACATAATAGAAACAGAAGGAACATTGTCAAATTCTTTTTATGAGGCTACAGTTACCCTGAAACCAAAACCACACGAAGACTCAACCAAGAAAGAAAATTACAGACCAATCTCACTCATGAACATGGATGCAAAAATATTCAATAAAACACTAGCAAACCAAATCCAAAAACACATCAAAAAATTCATCTACCATGATCAAGTTGGCCTCACCACAGAGATGCAGGGATGGTTCAACATAAGAAAATCTATCAATGTAATAAACTGAAAAATAAACTGAAAAAAAATAAAACATATGATCATTTCATTAGATGCTGAAAAAGCATTCGACAAAATCCAACACTTCTTCACTATAAAGAGATCAGGGATACAAGGAACATATCTAAACATAATAAATGCAATATACAGCAGGGCAGTGGTGGCACACGCCTTTAATCCTAGCACTCAGGAGGCAGAGGCAGGCAGATCTCTGTGAGTTCGAAGCCAGCCTGGTCTACAAGAGCTAGTTCCAGGACAGGCTCCAAAAGCTACAGAAAAACCCTGCCTCAAAAACAAAAATAAATAAATAAATAAATAAAATGCAATATACAGCAAGTCAACAGCCAACATCAAATTAAGTGGAGAGAAACTCAAGTGATTTCACTAAAACCAGGAACAAGATAAGGCTGTCCACTCTCTCTATATCTCTTCGACATCGTTCTTGAAGTTCTACTATAGCAATAAAAAAACAAAAGGAGATCAAGAGGATACAAATTGGAAATGGAGCAGTCAAACTTTCACTATTTACAGAGGATATGATAGTATATATAAGTGACCCCAAAAACTCTAACAGAGAACTCCTACAGCTGATAAGTACCTTCAGTAATGTAGCAGGATACAAGATCAACTCAAGGGGCTGGAGAAATGGCTCAGAGGTTAAGAGCACTGACTGCTCTTCCGGAGTTCCTGAGTTCAATTCCCAGTACCCACATGGTGGCTCATAACCATCTGTAATGAGATCTGGTGCCCTCTTCCGGCCTGCAGCGACACATGGAGGCTGAACACTGTATACATAATAAATAAATAAATCTTTTAAAAAAAAAAAAAAGATCAACTCAAAAGAAATCAGCAGCCCTCATAAATAAATGATAAAGAAGCTGAGAAAGAAATCAGAGAAACATCACCCTTCACAATAGCCACAAATAACATGAAGTATCTTGGGGTAACAGCAAGAGACCTGTTCAGCAAGAACTTTAAAGGAACTGAAAAAGATATCAGAAAATGGAAAGATCTCCCATGCTCTTAGATAGGTAAGATCAACAAAATAAAAATGGCAACCCTACCAAAAGAAATCTATAGATTCAATGCAATCCCCATCAAAATCTCAGTACAATTCTTCACAGACCTTGAAAGAACAATAATCAACTACACATGGAAAAACAAAAAACTCAGAATAGTCAAAACAATCCTGTACAATAAAGGAACTTCTGGAAGCATCACCATCCCTGACATCAAATTCTAATCCAAAGCTACAGTAATAAAACAGCCTGGTGTTGGCATAAAAATAGACAGGAGGACCAATGGAATCAAATCGAAGACCCAAATATTAATCCACACACCTATGAACACCTGATTTTTGACAAAGAAGCTAAAATTATACAATGGAAAAAAGAAAGCATCTTCAACAAATGGTGCTGACATAAATGGATGTCAACATGTAAAAGAATGAGAATAGATCCATTATCTATCCCCATCACAAAACTCAAGTCCAAATGGATTAAGGACCTCAATATAAATCCGATCACAATGAACCTGATAGAGGAGAAAGTGGGAAGTAGTTTTCAATTCATGGGCACAGGAGACTATGCTGTGGGAGCTCCTTCCGCTCCTTCAGCCAATAGCCTTTAAGATACCAGCCCACTTGGGCATGGTCTCTTTTGCTTTAAAAAGCAGCAGTAACCTTGTTTTCCCTCTCTTGCTTCCGCTACTAGACTCTGTTCCTGGTTGCGCAGAGGGCTGTTCTCTAGGACAGTGATTTGTAAGTTTTCCCCTTAAATAAATAACCCTTTTACTAATCAGAATTCCAAACTGGTGTGGGATTGTTTTGTGACTTACATCTACAAGACCACTTCCTAAGTATAACCCCAGTATCACAGACACAAAGAGCAACAATAAATAAATGGGACCTCCTGAAACTGAGAAGCTTCTGTAAAGCAAAGGACACAGTCAATAAGACAAAAAGGCAGTCTACTGAATGGGAAAAGATCTCCACCAACCCAACATCAGACAAAGAATGAATCTCCAAAATATATAAAGAACTCAAGAAATTAGACATAAAAGTACCAAATAACCCAATTAAAATATTGGGTACAGATCTAAACAGAGAATTCTCAACAGAAAAATCTCAAATGGCCAAAAGACACTTAAGGAAATGCTCAACACCCTTAGCCATCAGGGAAATGCAAATCAAAACAACTTTGAGATAACATCTTAAACCTGTCAGAATGGCTAAGATCAAAAGCACCAATGATAGCATATGCTAGAGAGGATATGAAGTAAGGGAAACACTCCTCCATTGCTGCTGGGAATGCCAACTTGTATAGCCATTCTAGAAATCAATATGCCAGTTTCTCAGAAAACTGGGAACGAAACTACCTCAGGATCCAGCAATACCACTCTTGGGCATATACTCAAAGGATGCTCGATGATGCTACAAGGACATTTGTTCAGCTATGTTCATAGCAGCATTATTTGTAATAGCCAGAACCTGGAAGCAACCTAGATGCCCCTCAATCAAAGAAAATGGATAAAGAAAATGTGGTACACTTACACAATGGAGTACTACTCAGTGGTTAAAAAAAATGACATCTTGAAATTTGCATGCAAATAGATGGAACTAGAAAAAAATATCCTGAGTTAACCCAGACCCAGAAAGATGAGCATGGTGTGTACCCACTCAAAAGTGAATACTAGCTGTAAAGCAAAGGATAACGAGCCTATAGTCCATGATCCCAGAGAAGATAAGTAACAATAAGAACCCTAAGAGAAACGTATATAGATCCCCCTGGGAAAGGGAAATAGACAAGATATCCCAAGAAAATTGGGAGCATGGGAGAAAAGGAGAAGGAAGGGCTGAAGGGGAGGAAGAGGGGAGGAGGGAAGATGGAAGAGAACTTGAAGGAATGGAATAGACAAAATGGAGGAAGGACAGAGTCGGAGAGCAAGGAAAGAGATATCTTGATAAGGGAGCTATTATGGGGCTAGCAAGAAACCTGACACTAGAGAAGTTCCCAATAATCTACAAGGATGACCCCAGCTAAGACCTTAAGCAGTAGTGGAGAGGGTGCCCAAACTGGCCTTGCGCTGTAATCAGATTGATGACGATCTTAAATATCACCATAGAACCTTCATCCAACAACTGATGGAAACAGAGGCAGAGAGCCACAGCAGAGCACTGGGCTGAGCTCCCAAAGTCCAGTCGCAGAGTAGGAGGAGTAAGAATATAAGCAAAGAGGTCAAGACCATGATGGGGTCATCCACTGAAACAGCTTACCTGAGCTAATGGGAGCTCACCAACTGTGGCTGGACAGGGAAGGAATTAGCATAGGACCAAACTAGGCCCTCTGAATGTAGATGACAATTGTAAGGCTGGGACAGACTGGAGGACCACTGGCAGTGGTATCAGGATTTATCCTTACTGCTTGTACTGGCTTTTTGGAGCCCATTGTCTTTGAATGGATACCTAGCTCAGCTTATAGTAGGGAGGGCCTTGGACCTTCCTCAAAGCAATATGCCTTCCCCTCTCCGAGGAGTGGATTGGGGGGGAGAAGGTGGAGGGAATGAAATGAGATGAAAAGCGACAGATTTTTTTTTTTTAGTAAAATTTAAAGGAAAAAAAAAAACTGGAAGCAGGGCTAGAGATATAGCTCAGGGGTTAAAACTACTGGCTGCTCTTCCAGAGGAAATAAATTCAATTCTTGGCACCTACACAGTGGCTCATAACTGTCTGTAACTGCAGTTCCAAGAGAGCTGGCACCAGTCATACAAATGGTGTACAGACATATATACAGGCAAAACACTCATGTGTAAAGTAAGACTTAAAAAAAATTAAAGAATATATATACACACACACACACACACACACACTTTAAAGTTGAAAGGCCTGGATGTAGTAACAAGCAACAGTAGTCCCAGTTACTTGGGAGACTGAGAAAGGAGGATTACGTGGGCCCAAGAATTGGAGGTCAGCCTTAACAACATAGCAACAATCTATCCTGTGATTCAGCTCTCTTGTAGACTGTTTGCCTAGCATGCATAAGACCAAGTCTGATTCCCAGAAACACACACACAAAAAAAATTTTTAAGTTGACCGGTTGGAGTTTAGCTTATTGGAAGAAGAATTACTCAGCTGTACAAGGCCCTGTATTCAAACTCTAACATCATTTTGTAATCAATTGAAAAACAGGCTGGGCGGTAGTGGGCACACACCTTTAATTTCAGCATTCAAGAGGCAAGCAGATCTCTAGGTTCAAGGCCAGTCTGAACTACAAAGTGAGTTCCAGGACAGCCAGGACTACATAGTGAGACCATCTTGAAAAAAACAAAACAACAACAAATCTGAAAAATATAAAAGCAAATACTTCTGAATAAAGAGAAAAGGACAAAGAAAAAACTTACCTAAGATGCAAGAGTTTGGGGAATGACAAAGACTGGGAGGAACCAACTGCAGGATCATACTGAGGCTCTGATCTGGAAGGCAAACACACCTGCTGACAGTTTGATTACAACCTAAAAGAGTACTTTTGCAATACAGAGAAAATTTCAACTTGAAAACTACTTCAAGAGTCTAAACTGCACCTCCCTTTACTCAAGTCATTTTAGTCATAAGAAAGACAACTGCTTAAGGACTGTTCTGGTATCTCTAAACCTTCTGATAAAAAGTATACCTCACTCTCACAAGGTATAGTCAAATCTTGGACATTCCACAACACTATAGATTTTAACCCAACGCTCCAGGAAGTCCCACGCAGAGTGGCTACCTTGTAGTGATCACAGGAAGGGGTGGCAATGACAAGAGCTTCTTGAACTGGTGTGTACTCAGCACTTCCCCATCAAAGTTCACTTCCCACATCCTGGAGCCCGGGCGTGCACAGTAAATCAAAGGCTGCTGGCCCCCAGCAAATTTTCCGGGGAAGAAACAAGCTCCATATTCTCCATCTCTTTCCTTGTTTCCAATTTTCCAAAACTTTTCTCTAATTTCCAGAAACAAAGACAAAGGTTTAGTTACAAAAAAGGAATGTTAAAAACAATCATATTAAGGAACTGAGAATAGCACTACAAATCAGCATGGCCATATAACCCACACACCCACACACCGTTTTCCTCTTTCTGTTCTCTGTACTATACCAGAAAACAATGGCATGGATTGGTCCAAACAGGGCAGGTTACCGTAACCACTCTGTGACAGGAAGCCAAGATCTTCGTTTCAGTGCTGTTTATTATCAAGAGCATGAGGAGGGCCTGTTTCAGATCCAAAAGGCATTACTGCTGAAAACCACTCCGTTCACCTGTGAATCTTACTGACTGCTTTCCAAGTCACTATGTATAACACAATTCTTTGGACATTCCATGCAGGCTCTTCCTCTACCTTTCCAAATGTTTCCAAGACCTTCCCTCACTACAAATATCCAATGAACTCTTCCTTTTCTTAAAATCTTTTGAAATTCTGTATGTTGGAACATTCTGCTCCCTTAGCAGTCCATGAGTTAGATATAAGAGCTAAGATGCAGGGAAACAGAGTGATAACGATCAGCCTTCTCCTAAAAATTCCTGTTATGAATTCTCTTTTTGCTTCTTGTCTTTTGGGTTTTGGCTTTCCTTGTTGAACCAGGATCTCCCTCTGTAGCCCAGGCTGACCTAGAACTTACTATGTGGCCAGGTTAGATTTGAACTCTCAGCAGTTCTCTTGCCCAATGCTGCGATTACAAGCATCACTTTCTTTTTACAAACTAATGGGTTCCACTCTGACATTTCACACATGTATGCCATGTACTCTGCTTGTGATCACCCCCCATTAGCCTCTTAATTTCCTCTCCTTAGTCCCTTCTCCATCTGCTTTGACAAGATACAGATGCAGTTAAACATGTACATATGCTTCTTTACTAAACATCCATATATATTCTAGACTGCACATGAGCGACAATGTGCAGTGTTTGTCCCTTTCCTCCCTCTAACAGTCCCCCTTCTCCTCAGGTCATTCATGTATAAGCATGTGTGCATATATGTTTTTATTCAAGTCTAGATTCTACATCTGTTAAGTCTGCTTCATGACTTGCCTGCATCATTTTTCCTTTGAAAAATGCCCTAGGCTTCCATATGCCCAATTATCTGTTTCTGATACTCTGCTTTTGCAGCAAGTACCAGATCACACACAGTCTATTGGAATGGTAGACTATGAATTACAAATACAGGGTCTGGCCCACAAAAAGAACTCAGTAGTTTTGTTTTGTTTGGGGCAGGGTCTCATTATGCAGTCCAGGATGGCTTCAAACTCAGTCTACTAGTCCGCACCTCTGCCCTCAAATACTGAAATTACAGGCATGCTCCAGCTCACTAGGCTCATGACCTCAGTCTTTTTTGTTTGGTTGGTTGTTTGGTTGGTTTTGGTTTTTTGTTTTTGCTTTTGTTTTTTGTTTGCTTGTTTTCTGAGTCAGGGTTTATTTGTGTGACATTCTGGATGTCCTGAACTTGGCTCTGTAGACCAGGCTGGCCTTGAACTCACTGAGATTTGCCTGCCTCTGCCTCCTGAATGCTGGGATTAAAGGCATGCACCACCACTGTCAAGCTCAGTCTGTTCTTGGAGAATGATTTAATATGCTCTTTAGCCAGGAGTCAACTCTGAGACTCTCGATGAATCAATAAATAGTCTTCCACTTATCTGCTTTGTGAATAAACTGTTTTACTGTAAGAACATGAATGTAAAAATGTTTGAAATATACAGAGCAATAAAAGAAGTGATAATTTTATGTATTATGCTGCTTATTTGTTATGCTGCCAAAGAGAACCCTGAATTCCTAATCCTCCTGTCTCCATTATTTCAAGTAATGTAGTTACAATATGTACCACCAAGCCCAGCTTAGGAGTCCCAATTTTTTTAAAAAGATTTATTTATTATGTATACAGTGTTTTGCCTGCATGTACACCTGCAGGCCAGAAAAGGGCACCATATCTCATTACAGATGGTTAGGAGCCACCATGTGATTGCTGGGAATTGAACTCAACTTCTGGAAGAACAGTCTGTGCTCTTAACTGCTGAGCTATCTGTCCAGTCCACAAGCCCCAATTTTTAGAGAATGTCATTTGTTGAACAGAATGTGGGTTAAAACTAAAAAAGATTATCTGAACTTATATATTATAATATCTATTACCCTCCAAACTGAACCCCAGCTAATAGAAGGGGACAGTTCAACATGCTATTTCTGCAGCAGGTTCTACATTACTGCAACTCAACTCTAGCTGTACCCCATGAAATGAACACTCAACGTCTTGTTAATTGCAGAATTCTCACTTTTTTATGCATGCTTGAAGTTCTGCACAACAATTCTTTTCTATTCATTGATTTAGTTGAGACGGGGTCTCTCTACATAGCCCTGAAAATCACTACCTAGCTAAGACCTGCCTCCAATTCAGAGTTCCATTGCCTCTGTCTCTTTGAGTGATAGGATTAAAGGCATGTAAGACTAAACCCAGTTTCCTTCTATTTCTTTAACTCCAGGAAGGTTTTTCTGACTGGTAGTTTTTCATTTCTTGTTCTATTACTTTACTGAGTGCTTACTTTGATTTCAAATTTTATTCGTGTGTCTCTGTGTGTACTTCTGTGTGAACCTGTGCCTGTTCATATGGTGCCTGTGTGTTTGTGAGAGGGTTGGGTTACTAAAGATTTTAGTAACTGTGGCTGGCCAACAGCTTGACTACTGAGCTCACCGAGATGGATGCAAAGCAAATTTGTAAAGAGGGAATAGGGTAGTCAGCAAACCAGCCCACATGAAAAGAATGGCCACTGAATACTTCTAAGCATGGGAAATAGCTAAGGAACTTTGGCAGTGATAGGTAATACTCATTTAAGCTGTTTCCTAATCTGATATTTCACCTCTAAAACATCCCTTTGTCATTCACTGTTACCTGTGTCTCCACTTGAGACTTTAGTGGGATTTTGTCAGCTCCACAAAGCCTATAGTAATTCCTTACCCAATGTTGCCCATTAGTAAAATATCATTAAATACACAATGAATTTTAAAAAGCGCAATAGAGAAAATCAGGGCAGTCTTACTCCACACACTGAAGCAAGTGCTTGGCGTTCTCATGGCACTTAGGTGATGTCATAGGGTAGGGCTCACTGATTGCCTGTCTTAGTCACCTGTCTTTGTCTCCTCTTTCTCCTATTTTCTAATGTCAGCTTTCATTTAACTGGTTCCTTATAACAACTACAAATTTACTGGAAGGGTTCTGACTCCATGATTAACAGTACTTGACCTGAAAATTCTGAAATTCTAGACAGCTGATGCTGTAGTCGGTTAGTATACCTCTCAGTGTCACACAAGAAGGATCGAGTCAGAGAAGACACAAGTAATCTTCCATCCAAATAATCTAACTGGACAACACAGGAGTCGACTGTTATTATTGTCTGAACAGGAAACATCACAAAGGCAGCAGCTGCCTAAAAGGGGTGTGAGAAGGAAACACATTCACAATGATGCACACAGTCTCTTCTGCCTGCCCTGTTAAAATACACCAGGAGTGGAGGCATACACTTATGTTCTCAATACTCAGGTAATCAAGACAGAAGGACTCCTATGAGATCAAGGCCAGCCCATGCTATGAAGTAAGACCCTATCTTGATAGATTAGAAAAGAAAAAGTTCAAAAAATTTAAAAATAAAGCCAGGCATGGTGACGTATACCTTTAATCCAGCATTTGGGAGGCAGAGGCAGACAGTTTTCTGTGAGTTTGCGGCCAGCCTGGTATACAAATGAGGTCTAGGACAGTCAGGTTATGTAGAGAGACCCTGTCTTGATAAATGAATGGATGAATGAATGAATGAGTGGCAGTTAAGAGTACTTATTCTTGTGGAGGTCTAGGGTTTGATTCCCAGAACCCACATACTTCTTTACAACAGTTCATAACTCCAATCCCAGAATGTACAAGACATAGAAACACATTTGAGTAAAATGCTCATGCATGTAAAATAATATAAATAAAATAAACCAGAATTTAATTTGTCTACAAAGACATTAAAGTTTCCCTCACTTAAAATTTGTGAGGTTAAAGGTAGTGCACATACCTTTGACCCCAGTACCTGGAAGGCAGAGGCTGGAGGAGCTCTGTGTTCAGGGCCAGTCTGATCTACCTATTCAGTTCCAGGACAGTCAAGGCTACACGAGAAACCCTGTCTCAAAAGAACAAAATAATTAAATAAAAATCTGTGAAATAATCTGATAGCTAACTACAGAAACTTCTCAATGTTCAGTTCGTTATTATCTATTTGTAACTTGGAATGAAAAAATATTAGTTTTGAAATATACAAGACAATTTTTCTCCTATTAACAGTATTTCTCCTTTTTAATAAAAAGCAAATAAAGTCTTAGCTATATGTAGGGTTTCAACTGCATTTTTCCTTTTGTTTTTTTTAAGACGGGATATCTTGTGTAGCCCTGGCTGTGCTAGAACTCAGCAAGCTGGTCTCAAACTCAGAAATCCACCTGCCTCTGCCTCCCAAGTGCTGGGATTAAAAGCATGTGCTACCACTGTCCAGCTCAATTGTATTTTGAATCAAACATGTATCAGGAATCAAATAATAACTTTGATGGGTCATGATGGACAAGCCAGAATATTCTGGTGTGTCCATTTAGACGACAGAAGCTATTTCTTCTGCCAGTACTCTACACTAAAACAAGTCAGTAAAAGATAAATTCTCCAAGGCTTAGGAAACATGGCAAATAAAATTGTATCCTTCCATTCAAAGCCCCACAAACTAACACCTTACAGCACAGCACACAAGTAAGGAGCTGGAGGGTTTCCTCACCTTTACTTGTTTTAAAGTGCTGAGTTTGATGGCAGATACTTTGCCCGCATGGTCACCTACAAAGACTCTCAGAACAGCTGTGTCCCAACAGAGGGCAGTAACTTTTCGGCCTTTGTGTTCTGAGGATACATGAATTCGTTCTGGTTTCCCACGACGTTCTTGGTTTAATTCCCAAACAACTACGAGACCTTGACTGCAAATAAGTTATAGACAAATCAAATTACCACAAAAAAAGTATGGCACTGACAAAAAAGATACAACTAAATTGCACCATAATGTTAATCATATTAAATACAGTGTAAACTCTTGGCTGTAGGGGAAAAAAGTAAAAATCAAAGCATTCACTTCCTTGTTTTGGCCATCAAATCAATAATTTAGAATTTAAAGTTTTAAATTATCTGTTTCCGTTCTCTCTCTCTCTCTCCGTCTGTCTGTCTGTCTGTGTATGTGTGTCTGTGTATGTGCATGTATACAAGATTAGAGATCTGCTAAAATATTTTAATATAGGCTTATACATGAAAATCAGACAAAGCAGGAGGTTCTGAGAGAAAAGTAAGACATACCCAGGTGTGAGCAGGGGCTCCTCAAGGAGAGGCGGCTCCTCCCATTTTAGATGTTGTTGCCTCAAATCAGCATTTTTCACAAACACTAAGGTGACCAAATACTCCTCCCAGATGGCTTGGGCACTGAGCAGATATGATTTCCCAGGATACAAATTTCCGTGCTAAACCAGTACAGTGCTAGGTGATATGAGATGGTTGGTCACCCTAACAAGCACTCTTGTCAGCTTAACATGCTAGAAAAGATCGTCATTCAAAGAGTATCTTACCTGGTAGCTACAGCAACATAGTCATCATCATGAGAACAGCAAGCAATCTGAGTGATCGCACCCTCCTAGGACATCAGACAGAGAACAGCTTGTTTCCATTCCTCTTTTACTTGAAATGATTAATTACACTGGAAAAGTTCACATTCAAGAAAGCATATTCGCCAGGCAGTGGTGGCGCACGCCTTTAATCCCAGCACTCGGGAGGCAGAGGTAGGCGAATCTCTGTGAGTTCGAGGCCAGCCTGGTCTACAAGAGCTAGCTCCAGGACAGGCTCCTAAGCTACAAAGAAACCCTGTCAAGAAAGAAAGAAAGAAAGAAAGAGAGAGAGAGAGAGAGAGAGAGAGAGAGAGAGAGAAAGAAAGAAAGAAAGAAAGAAAGAAAGAAAGAAAGAAGAAAGCATACTCCAACCAACGTGTGAATGTCCTCGTTCTTACCCGGTGAGAGAGAAACAGCCTTTGCTTCCAGCCGTCTTTCTGAATAAGATTGAGTCCTCCTCCTGTGCTGCCTAATGCCAACCACTTCCGAGACACAGCTATGCTGGTACACTGAAAGCATGAAGAGACAAGTGTGAGATGATTAGGCCATAACCACTATGCACTGGGGATGCAGCTTGGTTGCAGGACACTTGCCTGGAACTGACAAAAACATAAGCTGCACTGCCAGAAGTGTTAAAAATAACCTAACCACTGGAAATAAGTGCTGCAATTCCGTGCGCACTGCATCCCTTCCATCTTTCCCCTGTCCAGAAGGACACAATGGAACAGCACTCATTTCTAAATCTAGAATGCTAAAATATACCAAACAAAGAACATTTTGCTTTTAAACTTTTAGTTGAATCTCGAAAAGCTGAATAGGTTCACTTATATTAATGAGTAATTTTTCTTTGTTATAAGCCAGTTATTAAATGGTTCATATTTTGTATAATTTGATCAGGCCATTCCAGTGCTGACCACAATAGGAGGGAACTAAATAATTACCAGCAACAAAGCAGCTACTTCAATCATTTTCTCTCTTCAATCACTTCTATCTGCAGAACCATCACATACACCCACAGCCCTCATAGCAAATGAAACTGGGAGGCCTCAGATGCAGGTCCCATACCGCCATGTCTCTTCAAAGTCATTTCTGACTGAGCCACCAGAGCAAGTTGTGGTTATGCTGGACACGACTCTTGTGTCAAAATGTGTTAATAAGTTGACTAAAATACATTCCTAATCATTTTCAACTTTCTTTTCAACACAGAAATTGACAAACCCAAGTATTCACTTTTGTAGGTTCCTTTGCTGCCATGGGTGGCCAAGGTATTCAGTCCCAGCCAGCGGACTCAGCTTGCTAGAAACTTCTTGGGAAGCTTTATTTTCTCTAATGAAATGTAGAGTTAAGAAAATATCCAAACCTTTGTTCTTGGCCCTTCATTCTTGCTGACAAGATGAGGAAGGCCAGGCAGGATATTATATTACTTCTACTACTACTGTAATTAAGCCAATAGATATGATGGGAGAAGAGGGATGGAGAAACATGAGTAATGTGTTCAATCACAAGAACAAGCCACACATGCAAAAACATGTTTCTATAGAGGCATATGAACAACAACAGCTGACAGAAACTCACTCCTATCTGCTATACCTGGGAGGAGCACAGAAACATATTGTTTTGAAGGAACTGTCTTGATTCTTGGCGTGTTCTCAAACACTCCAAATTCTCCCACAACTCCACTCTTGGCCTGTGTCCAACAGTATGGTGTGCTGTAACTTGCAGCTGACAACATTGCTGATGGTGACCTTCACCACTGTTGACTGCACTGGCCTGGCTGTTGGTTCCTCTTTTCCCTTTTTTCAGAGGACCCAAATCTGCACTGGGACATCAGGCTTATGTCTGCAATCCCAGCACTGAGGAAGCTCAGGCAGGCATTTCACCATGAATGTGGGACTAGCCTGGGCTGCACAGTGAGTTCCAACAAATTTGGACAATAGAGTGAGACTCTGTTAAGAGAGAGAGAATGGGGTGGGGGGAGAGAGAAGGGAAGGGAAGGGAAGGGAAGGGAAGGGAAGGGAAGGGAAGGGAAGGGAAGGGAAGGGAAAAGGGTGGGTGATTTAAGGCACAGCAAAAATTTAAGAATAAAATCATTTGTGATTAAGATTTTATTCTTCACTGTGACTTCCCTGTGTTTAATCAAGAGTCTGAGGTTTCAGGGAACCATGTGCTTTCTAAGTTGCTAACTGGCTTTTGCCTTATTCCCTACACATGACTGTATCAAAGTAACTGCAGTAATTCATGTTGTTCAAATGTAATAGGGTATGCTCATTTATACTATTTTAATGCCAATAAAGTACATTACTTCCTAAGAGAAGACAGGAAGACTACCAAGAAGAGAAAAGATAAGGCAACAGTAGTGTATTCCAGAACTGAGAAAGAATCAAATGATAGTTTAAAAAATAAAGAAAGAGCTACTTCCATGCAAGGTAAAACAGGCAAAAGCTCCAAGAGGGGGCTGGAGAGATGGCTCAGAGGTTAAGAGCACTGACTGCTCTTCCAGAGGACCCGGGTTCAATTCCCAGCACCCACATGGCAGCTCACAGCTGTCTGAAGATCCAGTTGCAGGGGATCTGACACCTTCACACCATTGCACATAAAATAAAGTTAAATAAACCATAAAAATATTTAAAAAAAAAAGCTCCAAGAGTCCACAAAACACAAAACAAGAACACAGGTAGGAGCATGAATGGCAGAGCACACAAACACATTTTTGGATATAAAATGAAAGCAATGGACTACATAAGACTCTGTCTCAAAGTAGAAGTTCACCTTTAGACGACTAGAATCCAGCCGCAAAGCTGTGAGTAATGGATCCAAGGACTCAAATTCTGCAAGAACATGGCTGTAGGCTTCTGGTATTACTGGCACAAAAGTCATTTAGCCAAAAAGATGAAGGTTGTTCTTAAAGGATTTCCCACTAAAACAAAATTGCAAAATATAATTTAAAATTATCACTCATTCAACATATATTAACATTCAACAGAGAAATAGGCAACCACCTCTAAAAATTGGGCATGGGGGGGGGCAGATCTAAGTATCAATTACATGCAAAGGTTCATTCACACTGTGAGGGACATACCTAGGTATCAAATACACGCAAAGGTTCTTCACACTGTGCCATTCCCTAACTCTCAGAATTTTAGGTCTGGATTTCCAAGTCCTTCCACAGTCCTATCCCTCTCTAGTGTGGAACAATTTAAGTAAGAAAAATGGATAGACTAGGACTTAAAAGGAAAACTGGCCAAGCTCCTCAAGGGTAAGGTAGCAATCCCACTGTTTCTTTATATCATAAACCATCTGTCTATAGAAAGCTTTCGTTAAGAGGCAACCTTGAGCTAGAAATGATGGTGCACGCCTTTGATCCCAGCACTCAGGAGGCAAAGGCAGGTGGAGCTCTGTGAGTTCGAGGCCAGCCTGGTCTACAGAGTGAGTTCCAGGACAGGCTCCAAAGCTACAGAGAACTCTGTCTCGAAAATCAAAACAAACAAACAAAAAAAAACAACATCAACAAAAATGCCAAATGAAACATTTTATCTATTCAACTACTCTCAAGTACATTTTGGGGGGGATTGGGGGTCAAATGTCACCAATTTCCATGGGAAACAAGAAAAGAAATTGGTGATCTTCCCGGTCTTTGTTGTGTTCAAAGATGTTCATCTTTCATATGATCAAAAATCAAATGCTTGCCATCCAATCAGCCCTGACAGTGCACATGACAAACAAGGAAGCACTTGTATTCGGTGCAGCATTAACCATGGGCATGACGTCATAACCTGCAGGCTTTAAGCTGAGGTTCTCATCATCCTCATGAGACTTTCCTCCACAGATGTCAGCGGTGCCATGACGGTGTATGGGTCACCACTTGAGTCCGGGTATAATTCTGTGAAAGTAGGAGCCCTCTAACCAATCACTTCAGTGTAAGTTTTCTGCTGCCTTTTGAGCTTTATCTGTAAACAGCTTGAAAGAGACGGGCTCGAGGGCTTGCCATCAATGGCAAGGAACACAACGGAGTTGATCGTGGCTAATATCAAGCAGCTACAAGGCACATCGGCAGCTTCAAAACCGCTCCTCACTAATTTTAACTTCCCAGTCTTCTCCTACCTACCAAGTTAGCGAAGGAGGAGCAGCAGCAGCTGAGAAGACAGCACAGTGGAGAAAGGGTTTAATGCACAGACATGACCTCAGTTTCGATCTCTGGCACCCACACAGAAGCCTGACAGGGAGCACATCAAGGAAGACACATGACATCTACCTTTGGCCTCCACACACACACATACCAGCACACATAAAAAAGGATTAACAATTACAAAACAAACAGATACCATGAAAAAATTCAGAAGCATCTGTCTGTATTTTTGTCTATGCTTTGTATTTTTGACACTATTTTAGAAGCACATTTATTCATTCAGCAAATATGTCCTGAGCATCATTCATACGCTAGATGTTGGTCTAGAAGATAACAGCAGAGGACAAACAAAAAAAAAATCCTAATCTTCTCAGACCTTCCAGTGGTAAAACACACAGAAACATGTACAAGATGGTTTTTCAAATCCAAGATCTTTACATACTGGGCAAGTGTTCTATCACTGAGTGTGCCTTCCCGTCTTTGTGAAGCTTTAAAATTATATACATATATTCTCTGCTACTAATGCAGTACAGCTTGACCTCTACAATTATATATTCTGTATATAATTGTATATTCAGAAAAAAAGCAAACAAAATTTAGCATGACTATATCAAAGTATTTGACAATTCCTTACCCAAGAGAAATTTCAGTCATTTATCTTTTTAAAATTAGTTTATTTTTATTTTATATGCATTGGTGTTTGTCAGATCCCCTAGAAGAAGAGCTAAAGAAAGTTGTGAGTTGTCATGTGGGTGCTGGGAATAGAACCTGAGTCGTCTGGAAGGGCACCCTCTGGAAGGTCACACAGTGCTCTTAGCCGTAAAGCTGTTTTTCCAGCTCCGAGTCATTTATCTTAAGTAGTCAGTAAAATAACAGGGATAGTTGTGAGGACGGACATGATCAATAAAAGAATTCCAAAAACCAATTCCAGTCAAATAAAGAGAAAATCACAAATACCATACATGTATGTATGTATGTATGTATGTATATACATACATATCCACAGCTCTCATAAGGAATCACAGTTAGTCAGAGAAAACACCCTAAAGGAGTACACTGTTCCCAGGTCAGCTTTCATCATGAGGAAGGGGGAAGGGCTGCAGGTAGAGCTGAAAGAGGAAAGGCAGGAAAGTGCTGAAGGTATTCAGAGAATACAAGTCTTGTCCTCAGTTAAGTATAAAATGGAAATAATGGAATAAGGAAGCTGTTGCCATAATTTGGGCTCGAGGTACAAAATGCTTCCAACCTTAAGGCAAGGGACCTAAACTTAATTTGATAGGTTGCAGAGTCACTGAAGGATTTACTGCGGAGAATTTACACAATTCCTGTAAAGTGCTATGGGCAGATGCTAGAAAACATGGATCTAAAAGTAAGGAGTTATGAAGAAGGGAAGATGAGACATACCCTTTACCCAGAAAATCTGTGGGAAAGAAGAAAGCCTCTCTCTTGACATTCTGAGTAGAGAAGACTTAAAACTCATTTGTTACTAGTAGTAGCTAAAAGAAGAATAGCTTCCTTTTCCACACAATGTTATCTCAGTCAGTACTTCCTTTTTTAGCTTAATCTCCTTACCCTCTCCTATTATTCAACTATTCTGGACTATCTTGTTCTTTCCTTCCATAAAAGTGAACTTCTGTAGCTTTACTTACGCTGTTCGAACCAACAAGCCCTACTTTTCTAAAAAGCTGAGTTTAAACATTGCTTCTGTGTGCTAGTAGAGAAATGAGATGAAATAAAAACCTGTAAAAATGCCGAACTTGTAGAAGATGGTGGCAAATGCTTGCTAAAAATCAGTAAACATCTAACATCTTTTTAAAAGGTTGGCTTCCCCAAAGGTCACAACGCTCACAAAAGTAAACTTGAAAGTAGAATACACAAGAGAAAAGAAGAAGACGAGGAGGAGGAGGAGACCTGACTTTCGTCCTAAGACTTCATAAGTTGAAAAGAGAGACCCAAATATACAAAGCTGTCCTTTGTGTGTGCCGTGTCATGCCATTTTCTCCCCAATAATGAAAGAAAGTAGAACACACTAAAGATCGAAACGCTTTCTCCACTTCCCCGGATTATTCTAATGATAATTCAAGAGCAGTAGACAATGAATGCTGCTTACACAGTCAGTACCAATGACAACGCACCTAGTCCCCCTGCATGAGAGAAAAGATTCGACAGAGACAAGGGTAACAAAAATTGAAGAAATTATGCAAAGGGGGAATTAACAGACTTTATTTCCAGAAGAGAATCGTCCTGTTCAGGAAATAATGATCAGGAAACTCTGTTTCAGAAAAATTAACAACTAGCTCATGCATTCATTCATGCATGCATGTATTCATTCATTCATTCCACGTTGCGAGATCCTACCGTGTTCTAGGTCCTGGAGGCCCCGCTGGAGACAATGGTGAGCAGAGCAGTCCCTTACCACAAGCTCTTGTCAATCACAACTACCTTTCAAACCGCCGTGACTTTAAACTGCGTCTGTCGCTGTGGAGGAGAGTCTGGGACGCGGGTTTTCCAAGCGAGGCTCACAGAGTTGCAGGCTGACCAGCCAGCCGCGACGCCTCCAAAGCCCAGCAGCCACTTCCGTCAGCGGGCCTCACAGACCCCACGCACTGACAGCGGAACCTCAACTTTAGACTCGAATCCTAGTCCCCCAAGTCCCGCCCCGCCCTTGCCGACGTCATCCAGCGGCGCCGGGGACGCGGAGAAAGTGTTGTTAACGGCACTTCCTCGTCACGTGACAGTCACGCCCCTCCCCGCGCGCGGTCCCGCCCCCTCCGGCCGCGGTCGCGATTACGCTCCCTGCGGCCTGCAGTAAGAGAGCCGCCGCGGGCCGAGGACGCGCCGCCGATCCTGACCGGGTGATCTCTGGGTAGAACGACGAGGCAAGCCGAACCTCCGAAACTCTTCGCCACTCGAGACCGGAGACGGGAAACAAAACAGGCGGGAATCGGTGGGGGAGGGCTGGAGCTAGCGGAAGGTGTCATGGCGGCCGCACCGGCGGTCACGTGTCCCGGAGGCCCGCCCTGGAACTTCCGGTCACGTGCCCTCAGCGCCCTCGCAGCCAGCGATGGAGGCGAGACCCCCCGGCAACAGAGGCGGTGGCGACGGCTGCGGCGGCTGGGTTTCAGCCTCGCCCCTGCAGCGGCTGTGAGGAGCGCGGCGGAGCTAAACCTGACCGGACGTGGTTCTCGGAGCCCAGGCCGGAGGCAGTAGCTCCCACCTGGTGAGTTCAGACCGAAGAATGGGGGTGGGCGGGCGGTGAGGGTCTGACAGGCCCCGGGGGCGCGGGGCGGCGCGGGTTCAGACCCTCGTGTAGAAGTCTTCACGGCCCTGCAAGCTGGCTGGGTGGCTTGCCCTCCTTATCACGAAATGGGAAGGAGGTGCCCTGACCCTTAAGCGACTGCCTGAAGGCATTCCGTTCTTCCGGCGAGACGAACTCGAAGGTTTACCGGGTCAGACTCACCTCCCGAGAATGCAGGAAGTGAGGCCTCTCCGGGACACTGAAGCCCTTCCCGTTAGAAAGTCTGCCCGGGAGAGTCTTTCGGTTCTTGTAGGAGAAGTCCCCACCTTGGTTGGCTGCTTGCCTTTTTGCTTCCACCTGTCATCCCGCTCTTCAAACGGTTATTTAAGCGAGAGCCATACACCCAGTTTTAGTTATGACCGGCTTGACAGCCATGTAATGTAAAGTGGACCAATACATGGCAATGTGTGATTATTTTTATAAATTCTCCGGTGTTCTCAAAGGCTAAGTTACAGTGAAATTGACGCTTACATGCCCATTTTTGCCATCTGTAAAATAAGTGTGGGAGAAAGATGTTAAAACTTTTGCCCAGGACGGCAGTGAGATGGTTCAGCTGGTAAAGGTGCTGCTAAGCCTGAGTTCCATCTGTGGGACCCACGTGTTGGAAGGCGAGAACCAATTACCGGAAGTTGTGTCCTCACATATACACAATTTAATCTCACTTTTGTGCGTTTTGTTTTGGTGGTGGTTGTTCATTCAAAGACTCCAGTTTAAAATAAAGTAAAACAGAGGTTTGTGAGTCAGGAATGCAGCTCAAAGCAAGTAGTGCCTGCTGAACATGTATAAGGTGCTGGATTCCATCACCAGAACTGGCAAGGAAAAAAAAAATAGAGGACTATGGGTCCAGCTCAGTGCAAACTGATAAGAATGCAGGTCTGGGTACCTGACAGGTCTGAAAACAACCATGTCTGGCTCCGTACAATATTCTCAATAGCCAAACTTGTGGTTTCCTTTTTTTTCTTTCTTTCTTTCTTTTTTGCTTGTGTTTCGAGAAAAGACTTCACTATATTGCTGCCTGTCCTGGAACTTGTTTTGTAGACCACTCTGGCCTCAAACTCAGAGATCCACCTGCCTCTGCCTCCTCAGTGCAGGAATTAAAGGCTTGCACCACCATACCCCATCCCTGTTCCTGTCCCAGCTTTGTAATTTTTAAAACATTTTAAAGAGAAACATTTCTCCCATGAATTTTTGTCTGGAATTCCAACATAAAAAAATCAACGTGCTTCAGTGAATCTGAATTTAGGTGGGTCAGCATCCTATTTTTAAGGACATCCCCTAAAAACACAATTTGGAAACCACTGAGTCATAGTTGTCAAAACCTTAAGTTTTATTTTTTGTTTCTGTTTTTCGAGGCAGGATTTCTGTGTGAAACAGTCCTGGCTATCCTGGAACTCAAACTCACAAAGATCCACCTCCCAAGTGCTGGGATTAAAGGCATGTGCCGCCACCACCCGGCCTAATCAAAGATTCTTAAAAGCCAAAACCAGAATAGCCACATGACAAGATCGTAATACAGGGGAATATAACCTCTGGTGGCAATCTGATGTCTTATAAGAACAACTCTGGAAAGAATTTTGTGCCTAAATTAGCTAGCAGGCTTGAATCTTTTCGAAGCAGGGTCTCCCCACTGTAGTAAAAATTGTCTTTCAGTTCGTAGCAACAGTTCTAAAAGATTTATTTATTTATTATGTATACAGTATTCTCAGTATTCTGTCTGCATGTATGCCTGCAGGCCAGAAGAGGGCACCAGATCTCATTACAGATGGTTGTGAGCTACCATGTGGTTGCTGGGAATTGAACTCAGGACGTTTGGAAGGACAGGCAGTGCTCTTAACCTCTGAGCCATCTCTCCAGCCCCACCACACCCAGTTTAAAAGGAGAGATCTGTTGTATTTACTTGGCCAACTGAGTGAGATGGATGGGTTTGAATTTCTCTTACAGTAAGTACAGAAGTACAGATATATAAAAGCAATTTTAAGAGCTAGGCTTGGTGGTGGCACATGCCCTTAGTCCCAGCACTTGAGGGACAGAGGCAGTGATTCTCTTGAGTTTGAGGTAGTTTGAGGTTAGCCTGGTCTAATAGTAAGTGCCAGACCAGTCAGGACTACATATTGGTGTTTTCTTGTTCCAGCTGCCTGCTCCCAAATAACCGACTCAGAGGCTTAATATAAATTATAAATGCTCAGGTTTGTTACTAATTAGCTCTTACAACTTAAACCATTTTCATTGATCTTTGTGCTGCCCTGAGGCTCATGGATTTTACCTCTATCCAATTTTGTGTTTCTGACTCAATCTTCCATCCAGCTGGCAACTCCTGACTCTGCCCTTCCTCATCCCATCTTTCTTATTTTGGCTTTCCCACCTAACTTTATCCTGCTTAGCTATTGACCAGTCAGCTTGTGTATTAAACCAATCATGGTGACATACATATATTCACACAGTATACAGACGGAATATTCCACAGCAGAAATAAGTGAGGTACAGAGGAGTATGTGTTCTTTAAAAATACCGGGAAGAGGGCTGGAGAGATGGCTCAGTGGTTGAGAGCACTGGCTGCTCTTCCAGAGGTCCTGAGTTCGATTCCCAGTAACCACATGGTGGCTCCCAGCCATCTGTAATGAGATCTGGCACCCTCTTCTGGCATACGGGCATACATAGAGGCAGAATGTTGTGTACATAATAAGTAAATAAATCTTTAAAAAAAAATACCGGGAAGATAATTGCGGTCCAAAAAAGAATCAGTTAAAAGTAGTAAAGCAATGGGCGTGGTTGTGCATGCCTTTTGATCCTAGCACTGGAATTCTCTTAAGCTTAGTGATAATACTCTTTATCAGCATGCAGTTTTTATTAGTGGGTATTTGCCTATTTCCTTCTATAGTGCACTTAGTATTTTCCTTAGTGCTTCGTTTGTGAAACCATGCTTATAAACAGTAACAATCCACTGTGGTTTCCTTTTAATTTTTGTGGTTTTGTGTGGGTGTTTTGCCTACATGTGTGTCTATGCACCCACCCCTACGTGCCTGGGGCCTAAGGAGGCCAGAAGAGATCATCAGATCCCCTGCAATTGAAGTTGTTAGCAATAAACCCAGGTCCCCATCAACTGAGAACAGCAAGTGCTCTTAACTAATAAACAAACCGTCTCTCCAACCCCTTTGGGGTTCCTTTGCAAAAAGGAACCTCCAAGGTTTTATTTCCTGTGTTGTTGTACTGATAAAACATTTTTTGATTACTTAATAGCAAGCAATCTCGAGCTCTTTTCACTGGTTTTCCTTTTTTTTTCCACTCATTTTCTTTAAGATGGGATCTTGCCTTGTATCTCAGGCTGCCCTTGAACATGGCAGTTCTTCATTCTGCTTTTGATATCCTGAGCAAATACCCATATCTTAACGCTAGTAGATATAGCTCACTCTTGGAAACCTCCTTTCCAGGAGACAAGAGTGCTAAAGATAAAAGAGTTTATCTTTCTGTATACTTTGATAGAAGAGGTAGGTAATGGAAATTCAGAGACATTCAGAAATTAAAGATTTCTGTTGAACCACTGTAAATTTTTCCTAAAATGTTAGGGCGAGATCTTTCTAGGGCAGGATCTAATTTTGGGAATCTTTGTGAAAAATGACTATCTGGTCTATGAATAGAAAGCTATAGTATCCTGTAGTTGAGTTGAAGATAGATGTGTATAGATTTCTTGTGTCCTGGCAAGGCTGAATTCTTCAATAAAGATCTTTCAATTTTATAAGTACATATTAGATCATTTTGAGGATTGTGCTGTGCTGCTGGGTGCTATATTATAATGGATACAACACATTGAACCTTGATCTTTCTAAAGCTTGCAGTCTACCAAGGGATATATACATGTTTTTTCACATATATTTAATGCTGGAAGGTAAAATATAGTGCATATGATCCCATTGTTGTGGATCTCATATTGTTATGGATTTTATGTTATGATTTCCAATGTGTCAGAAATCTTTGGAAGTCAAGAGAACTCTTTAAAGTATACACATATCCTAAATGCCAAATTGGACTGCTGGTTCCAAGAAACATGTAACAGCAGTGTTAAATATTTCATGCCAAACAATGTCCACTTCAGGGACATTAGAGCTGAGAAGAGCTACCTAAGTGAAACTTTACTCCTGGGTTCCATCTCTAAGAAAAGCATGGTACTATGAACCCAAACTGCATTTACTATACAGAGCTCAAACCCATAGCCAATATGATCTCCGAGGCTTTAAAACAAATGGTAGTTTGTTTGTGGTGGAATTTGAAAATATGCTTATAATTTTGAAAGGGGGTGGTGTTTTTGTAAAGTTATTAGTCATACCTTTACATTGTAAAATATTAAGGAAATATGTTATATAGTACATACATACATATTCAGCACATTTCCCTAAAATGCACTATATCCTTTAATTTTGTATGTTATAAGATTTTGATTTTGGAAACTATTTTTGTGTCCCCCCCCTTTTTATTAATTTTTT